GTTTGTAGGGATTAAATTAACCCAGCATGGAGGAAGTGAGTGAGACTGAGAGGGAGTTTGCATTTATCTCTTATGTGAAGGCTCTCTTCTTGCCATTCCGGCACTCATTACTGTGGGGGACCTCATCTTGCTTCTTGATCTTGATCTCAAGTTTTGAAAGATAAAATTTTCTATGACCTTTTTTATGCTGCCTTTAATGTTTTTGATGGTAAAGTTCTTTGTTCTCTATCCAACACAGCGGAAATGGCAAATTGCTCGCCTCCCCCTTCTAAGAGTCTTTCAAAGCATGCTCCACTGATTCATGTGATGAAGGTTTGTCTATTCCATACCATAGACCTATATTGTGTCTTGGGTTTGGTGATCTGCTTAACTTGCTCTCTACCTCAGGTCAAACCAGACAAAATCAATCTGATCATCGGTAGTGGTGGGAAGAAAGTGAAAAGCATTATTGAAGAGACTGGAGTAGAGGCCATTGAAACCCAAGATGATGGAGTAGTAAGATCAGGCTTGAATCTCATCTTGAATGGCTATAAATAACTATGCCGCTGTTGGTTATGTATTTTGTGTCTCTCCCCTTTTCAGGTGAAAATTACTGCTAAGGACTTGTCTAGTATAGAGAGGTCTAAAGCCATAATTAGTAATCTGACAATGGTGCCAACAATTGGTGACATATATAGGTACTTATTTTTCTGGTTCTCTGTTCTTTCCGAGAGTGTTGGGAGAATTGTGGAATGATTTATTCTCTGATTCTTGCTTTTCAGGAACTGTGAGATCAAATCTATTGCACCTTATGGAGTTTTTGTTGAGATAGCTCCAGGCAAGGAGGTGTGTTGTAGAATTCCCATTGTAAATATTCAATGATGTTGGAGGTGGAGATGTGGTGTTGTCATCCTTTCTACTTCATCTCATGGGCACAATATAAATATGGGTGATTGCAAATAGTAAGAGGAGCTGTTAATCTGTACCCCGCACTTGCTACCCCATTTCTACTGATATATAGACTACATAGTTGTCCTTGATATCAAGCGGTACCTAGAGGATATGTTTGGGTACTATTACCTATTAAGGGACTTTTTGTCTATACTTATTTTGAGTACCTTTTCCGCTTCTTACTTTCCGTCGAAAATTTTGTATATTGAAGTGTTTTAAGTTTCAGAAAATTAAGAAAAAGTCGTATGATTCCCATGTATATATTTTATTAGGCTTCAAGTGTTTCACATTTAACAGAAGTCAAATTATGAGAGACAAAGGATTTGGAAAATGTAAAAGCCAATTCATCTACAATTGGTGGATAACATGGATTTTCATCTTACTGGGTCCTATAGCATATATTGAGTTGAAGTTTGCCCCTTAAATAACTTTGTCATATTGCACCTTCATATGCAGTTGTTATATGATTTTACTGTCTCTCTTACTGTACGCAGTTTGATATGGGTAGAGGTACTGAATTATGTTCATTGTATATTTGTCTCAGGGCTTGTGCCATATCAGTGAGTTAAGTTCCAATTGGCTTGCCAAGGCTGAAGATGTATTGTTTTTGCCTTACTTTTTACCTTGCCATTAATGGTCTAAGTCCATAAACGCTAATGGCTTGTTTGTTTATTTTGCTGAAGGCTTTTAAAGTTGGAGATCGTGTTGATGTGAAACTTATTGAGGTATCAAATATTTCTTTCCAATTTTATCTGCTTAACATTTTATCTGCTCAATATTTTGGTTTTACCATCATTTTTTTTTTCGTTTTTTAAGTCCTAGAAAGAAGTTATTCATGTTCGATAAATTACTTGCTTGAGATTTGTTGTTTAACTGGTTGGAAGTGTTTCTATGATGTGATTCAGACATTGCCGTTTGTTTTAACTTCTTGTGTGATGATCTGCCAATACTGTCTCTTCATCCTCCTGCAAAACAGAGCAGCATTGTCAGTAGGTGCAGGTTGTGTAATTCGAAGGGTTGCCAATGTGTATAATATCCATTAAGAATAATATGCATATGGCATCTCCCTGAGAGGCTCTTCTTTTCCTTTAGCTGCTGACTTGCCAAAAAGTTGGGGGAGGGATTAATTCAAATGTCCTTGTCTTTTCCCTCTTACCAGTTGTACCAGAAGATTTAACTTTTTTTCTTCCTCCTCTATTGCTAGCTATACCCCCTTTTCTGCCCCCGCTGGCTATGCCTCTTTAAACCCTATCTCTGAGCCCGTGTTAGCCTTGCTATTTGTTTAGAGACAAGTGTGAAAACCAAATCCTAACATTGGCCTCTTCCCTCTAATTCTTTCAACCCTCAATACATATCTGGACAAAGAATTAATGAACTAACACCTGTGTATTTTGAAACTTCATATGTTACTTCCCAGGAGAAATTTCTCTCCATGTTTCTATTCATTGCCTGGAGTAGTAACCTGTGAGTTGGTGGCTCCGCAGAGGGGTACTGATGTTACATTCCTATGACTAGCTACCGTTTATTGATCACATTGAGAAAATTATGGATTTCGATGTACATATATCCATGTTGACCTGATTATAGAGTATTTCCTTTGATGAGTTTTTATGATCTTTTGTCTGTTTCATTGTCATTTCAGTAACTCTTACTAATTGTTACAAGAGTTTGGTTTAGATCAATGATAAGGGACAGCTCCGCTTTAGTCGCCGGGCATTACTTCCTGACCCAGATCCGAAGGAATTTGGAACGCAGCAAACAGCTGGAGCTGCTGGAGAAGAATCTGCTTCCGCACCATCAACTGATAAGGTTGCGGCTAAGAAAGTAGTATTCATGCCCAAGGACAACTTTTCTGAGGAGAATATTGAACAAACTAGGGATAAGGTCAGTGTTTCAAAGGTGACAGGTTCTCCTAAAAGTATCTCAACTGAGCAAACTATCCAACCGCGAAAGAAAGCAATTAAAAGGTTGGTAAGCCCTGCCAAAGATAAGGCTTATATCGGCAAAGATAGGCCAAAGATGAGTAGCAGCAAAGCAGTTAGCAGCATCTCTGCCAATGATGAAAGTACTTAAGTTAATGGAGAGGCTAAAATTGGATAGATCGACGTTGCTTTGCTGTTGAGGATGACAAATATGTTGGAGCAAATGACATGACAGCAGTGATGAGGGCGAGCCTTCCATTTGAAAGAATGTAAAAGGTAAGACTTATTCACCCTGTATGGTTGTAGATGTTGATAGTGTGAACTTACTGAAAGAAAAATTGTAGATAGATTGACTCTTTCACTTTGTGCCTTTGGCATCATTTGCACTCATCTTCATTTACACATTTTTTCCCTCTCTGTGAGTCTTTTGAGTTTTTATCATTTCCATTTTTGAGTCTTCTGAGTATTTTCTGCTTGGTGGTGAAAATCAAAATAATCGTTGTGACAGTATCTGATGTTTTTTCCGTCTATGGCAAAACATTTAATACTTTTTAGTGTGCCGTAATACATTGTGATGCAGAAATGACTATGTAGCAAAGCGTTCATAAGCATATTTTCAGTGTCTAACAATGACCCGATTTGAATTGTTGCGGTCTAAGATGTTGAACTAGTGGTTTATGTCTTTCAGTACACCTCCTCTAGTCTCAGCCTTGCAAAGTGAGCATCATCCTCTGCATTTTCTGCACATGATAGAACTCAACTTTAGCTCGTGGCTATCAAACATGATCTGTGCGGTGGCCTATGGCATGGCTGAATTTTGCAACAATTACAATTTGATTGGGGTGACAATGATGTCTCATTTTGCTGGATGATTATCACAGAAACTCAATTTTGTGGCACATAACTTTACTTTCGTGTCCTCGTCTCAATCTGCTACTGATATGCTGATTCTTTTTTTCCTTTATTTTGATAGGAACCAATTTGTTATGCACGTGTTTGCCCAATGCTGGATAGTCAATTATGCTTCTTGGAGAGAACTCCGCCACATAGCGAGGAGACTCTTCCAGTGATACGCCAATGGTGTGCTCTTAGAACGACTCAGAGGTGACCGACAAAGTAGTAGCTTTCGCAGGAGACAGAGAGATCTTTCCGTCTTTTCTATCTTTGGCCAACTTGTAAGTGTATCCCCCATTGATCTTCCCATGGCTTTTCATGCTCAAGGCTCCAAATTTTGCTTCAAGAAGCACGGGGTTTTTGAAGTGCAGAATTGCTTCCCAATGCGAGGATGATTGAGTTTGTGGCAAAAGTCGTGTAGTTTTTATGTGCCTCTCGGACTTAGTCGCGCACCGCAGTTCTTACTTCTTCTTCTACGGCTTTCCAGTCTATCAAAGAAAATAGCGTCAGCTTATTCTTCTCGTATTCCCCTTTCAGGAAGGGATTGGCACCCGGAAACCGGTTGCGTACTAACTAACAGCCGGGCCTTTAAGATTGAATATATATTACTGATGTTAAATATCCTCAAAACGAAGTCTGCTAACATAGCGCGAGTGTAAAATATGATTTTATATATAGTGATTTTTAAATATCTACTTATAGGCCATTTTAAGTTCTTTCTGTTTTTCTTCAAAAATATTTTCTATTATTGCAACGAGGGGAAACTTGTCCAACAGGTCCTAAACCTATAATTAGCCGGATGGACTCAATTGGCAAAACTTCAAAAGGTTTAGGCTAGGGCTCAATTGGCAAAATTAAAAGATTTAAGAGTGGATCGACAAAAATGCAATAGATTTAGAATTTTTTGGACAATTTTTCCTCGCAACAAAACTAGTGCTAATTTTGAATTCGTCGTAGCTTTAAGTCTAAAACCCCGACTCTTATAAAGCACTCTCTTCAAACTTCATGGGTTTGTAATCTATGCGAGATTAAAAGTGACATAAACCTCAACCCTAGTACAAAGCTCATGTGCTTTCACGAAAATAAAAGATTTAGCAAAATCCGATGTCTTTCTGTTCATGGAATACGATGTGGTGCAACCTGCCTCTGTAAGACAAAAATATGGTTTCTGTTAGATGCCCTCATCAATAATTCAATGTTCAGTTATTAGTATAATTGTCTTACCAGAACCTAACCAAAATCTTGGTATAGAATTCACGTGGCTTATTATCTATCATTGTCTTCAGAACTAGCCATTTACTGGTGTGGAGATATCCTTCAGAAAGATAATCAGGTCTAAACGATGCTGCTTTGCTACTCGTACTGGCCTACTACATTGACCCGCAAATACTAAAATGTCTCGGTCCACCATAGAATTCAGTTAGCCCTTGGCCATCAGATTCGTTCACAATACCAAACATCCCTTTGCAATAAAGTAACCCTCAATCGTCTGCTGGCCTCCGAAGACAGCTCTCCTTGCAAGTCTTGGGTTAAAAAAACCGAGAATATGTTGATCTGTCTTTTCCCTTACCAGCAACAAACGTTCAGTCGAAACACTTCAACTTCCAGTAATCCCCTTCCTTTTCCCATAAGAATGGTCGCCCCCCGCTGATACATATCATCGGTCAGAGGCCTCGAAAAGCAGGCGCCAACAACTACACAATGGACCCGAATCTCGTAGATTCCAGATACTCGCCGGTCCGCTTCCGACGGGTCTCTGGAGACGTCCGCACGACCTTCTTCAAATGCGTGCGGTGGCAAGTCGAAGAGACGCTCGACCCCGTCGATTGCCCATACCATTACTACTGCGACAGCACCTACCCGGGCGATTATTCCCAGGTCGTGGATGGCCTCGTTCTCCTATTTTCGGTGGCTTCTTACCTCGTGGCGCTGATCATCATGATATTAGAAGTGTCTGGGAAGCGCAAATCGCGCCTTTGCAAACTGAAGAGGTACTTGCTTCCGTCCAGTCCGCTTTCCCTCTCGGTGACGCTGCTGATCCTTGCCAAGGGCCACCAAATAAACTCCATGTTCCCGGTTTCCTGCATGGGACCAGCGATATTCCATCTCGCGCTCATATCTGCCCTGGTGTTTGATGAAGGTACGGTCAGCGATGTCAAGTACGTCATTTTTCAGGCATCGACCATCTCCGGGATACTGCATGCGAGTCTATATCTGGACTCTGTTCTTTTACCTTACTACACGGGTTTCGACGCTCTAGTGTCTTCGACCTTCTCTCGCGAGTGCGAATCCTGTGTTTGCCGCAGCGAGGTTCTAGTTGTCGGAGGGATGTTAGTTACCTACAGGGCCTGGTCAATAACCAGTTTTCTTGTTGCGGGTGCTTTGTGCCTGAGAGTAATATGCAGAGTAAGCAGTGATGTTGGCAAGATCACGCATATGTCCAAATACTCACTAGAAACATTAGGTCTAGCGTCAGTGGTGTGGGACTCTATGTATTTGCTGAGAAATTCTCCACCAGAAAGGTTTTTGCTCCGAACTGTTGCTTCAGGAGCCGAGTTGACCTTAATTTGTATATATGTGGTAGGAAGGATATGTGCTCGCATTCGGCAATCGCAATTGCATCATGAAAAATGAGAAGTTATTCCGAATTCGAGAAGATGATAGATCTGATGTATAGAAAAGAATGAATCCTCATGAAATGAGTGCATCCTGACTGCAGGATATAGAAGTTTACATAGATAATGTAGAAACTACAGAAAAACCTTCCTGAAAAGAATGGCAGAATTGTCTGCCAGCAAGAGACTCATTTGCAAGTGTAAAGTCACTCGACAGAAGTACCGAGTTAATCTCAATCAGATCAAAAGGTAACTACAAATACTAGAAATCCTTTGTTGCTTCCGCTGTGCAGTCACTTGAACAGAAACACCTTTTCTGGGGTAGAAACACTGCGAGGCCTCTCTCAACAGAACTCAAAATCACAAAAAGAACCTCCTCCTGCTGGTGTCCATTTCGGGCTGGAGTGGACATACAAGAAAAGTAAACAACGATGAATCTGAGAGGAGAATGCTTTCACATGCTTATTTTTAGTATTCAGATACGAGTGCCTGGCTGGAGACATAACGAATTTGTATAAACTATTCACCTTGTGAACCCATTCATATTCGCCACCTTTAGTATCAAATGTTCCATGCTGCAGACTAACCAACTTGAGTGTAAAACGAGGGCCACACTCCTACAATTTCATATGACCAAGCAGACACAGGTTAGATAAACTGTGAACGTTAACCGATTATGCATTCGTTCCACCTCTCTCTCTCTCTCTCTCTCTCTCTCATGCGCACGCACGCAATTCTCACTTCAAGGGCTGCATCAACATGCATTTCACTTTATAAATGTGCTCTTAACAAGTATGTAAGTAATCGAATTGGTTAACAAACCTGAAGGCGAGCGATTACTTTCTCTTGAGAGACCTTCTCACCCTTGTCATTCTTCACCTTCTTATCCTTTGAGTCCGCATGTTTACTTTCTTTACTTTCAAAGATGTACCTGAGCATGGATATTGTGCAACTTTAACTGACGACAAGAGAGATTGTGACTAAAGTGAGTACTCACAATGCTACCAAGACCCACCTATGATGGCGAAAGAATATAAAATCTCGCTGGTTATGGAAAGTCACAACTCTCCGACCACGGAAATTTGGTTCTTGTGGAAATAATGACTGTATTAGTCTGAAAGAAAAGAGGTAAAACAACTTATTAAATCAAATACTAAGCTATAGTATATTATTACATCAAGTCACATGGAAAGAAGAAAGCTGAGGTTGCATTGTCTAGCCTGAACGGGTATTCAGCACTAGAGACATTGCAGTATACATCACAAATGGAACCAGGTTTCTTAACAGTCAATTGTTTTACCGGGATATAGGCAGTAAAAACCTAGAGGCTATAGTAAATGGAATCAATAAAAAGAAAACTGTCACCTTCCAATACGATGGCCCAAGCGAGTTGTAAAATTAGTCAATACAAGCTCAGGCTCATGACTAGTTGGATTTCCATGATTCTGCAAGCAACGCAACAAGGAAATTAACAAGAGAATCCGATCCTTTGAAGAGATCACCATCTATCACTAGGGAATTCTATACGGAAGCATATAAGATGAGAATTATCAGCATGCTTGTGAAATGCATGAAAGAAGTGCTGCCTACAAGCGAAGAATAAACCGTTTCTTTGCTTTCCATTTGAACAGTTAACTAATACAAGACAACAACCTACAAACCTTGATATCTTTACGTAATACAAGCTTGGAGAGCTTGAAGTGTGCAGTCGGTCCATCTGGTAAGCCGATAATTAAAAGAGCATCTACAAGCAAGAGCAGATGCTTACTAAAATATAAAGATAAGGAAAATTATTTGTTTAAGTGTCTGCAGAGTCAACTAGTAAATAGAATGAAAAAGGTCAAAAGCAAAAAAAATGGTGACCGGTCATTTAGCAAGAAGCACCACTAACCTGGTTCCCTCCGATTTGTGTGAACAACGACGACAGAAGTGAACTCTTTGTGATTTGCATATTCCACGATCTGATAACAGTGCAAAAGAAAAAACTTAAACCAAGTAAAGAGAGTAACTATCTGGTTCAGAAATGCCACAGATAGGAAGAAACATTCAACACCTTCTTCATGTCATAGGTTCCTCTCCTGTAGTAATGAGAATTCGGGATAACCTCCAGTAATTCCGATATAAAAGCAGGCCCCCTCTGCAAAATCATGCGATACGCAACACCAAATTACTCAAAAAAGCAAACTTTAATCAAGCAGCTGCGCCCAAGGACCGTGCAAAGAGCAAAACGAGGCCATACAGTCGAATTGAACCGGCAAGTGGTGATCAATATCTTCGGGGTGCTCTCGCGCTTCAATACGGAACTGAATTCGTCGCAATCGTTTCCAGCAAACAGCTACAAGTACACGAACAAATCAACCGGGAAACCAAAAACGATATCCACAAACACCACGCAAGTGACCATCAGCAGAAGTAGTGAAAATAGAGAGAGAGGAACCTCCTCATCGTCGGGCCGGCAAACCGTCTCGTCGAACTCTCTCGTGTTCTCGATCGTGCGGGGGATGCTCTTCGGCGGAGGCTGCTCAGAATCAAACCAAATTAGAGAATCAAGAGCTTCGACACAACAGCAAGCTCGCGAGCGCGCTATACTTGAAAGTAAAGACAATTGGTGGATTAGGGTAAAAGAAAAGTCGCCAGACCTCCTCGCCGAGCTCGAGAGCGCGCTTCTCGGCGGCGTCGCGATCCTTGAGCTTCTTGCGCTTCTCGAGCTTCTTCTGCTGCCTGAGCTTGGCGTGGACGGCCGACCTCCGCTCCTTGTTCTTTATCATCGACGGCAGTATCTCCCTCTTCTCCTTCGGCTCCGGCGCCGGCGCCGCCCTCTTTCTTCTCTTCTGGCTATCGCCTCCATCTTCTCCCTCGCCTTCGTCGTCCTTCTTCCGCTTCCATCCCATGGCTTCCTACGCCTCGTTCGAGCCTCAGCTCGCCGTCTTCTTCTTCTTCTTCTTCCTCCGGCGCTTGTGGATCGACGACGACGACGAGCAGAGGCGAATGAGGGATGCTTCTGCAAGTTCGACTAGCGAGGGTTTATGGAGAACCAAAGCGTGCCGGTTCGTGTATCGGAGTGGACCGAAACGAACCGGTTTTCTCAAGAATCTAACGAACCGGCCCATCCGGCCGGAGGAACTACGGAATGAAAAATCTCAATTTCCTTTAAAGGTACGTGAAAAAGAGTTAGACATTATTATAATAGCTTAATATCACGAAAAACCTCGAACTGGTATGTTCACGTCAAATTCACCCCAAACTAATTTTTGGACAACTAAACTGGTATACTTGTGACAAATTTATCCTCCGTTAGTTTCCGTTAAATTTTACTGTCAAATTGCTGGGTTGACGAGGGTATTGATTTGGGATTTTACCTCCGTTTGTTACAAATGTACCAATTTATGATTTTTGTGGTATAAATCCAATTTAATGGAAACCAACGAATGGTAAATTTGTCACAAATGTACAAGTTTAGGGTTTTTGGTAATCAAAAAATTAATTTTGGGTAGATTTGTCATGAGTGTACAAGTTTAAGATCTCTGGCGGTCAAAACATTAATTTTGGGCATATTTATTACAAGCGTATCAATTTGAAGTTTTTTGTACCGTTAACCCTAATAAAATCGCAAAATGATTTATTTTTATGATTTCACGTCAATTGTATTATAAAAAATATCGCATTTTAATAAAAACTGAATTGCTATTCTCGATTCATGCTGTTCATAATTTTTTAACACAAACTTATTTCGAATTTGATTCAATTCACATAGCGGGGGAAAAACGGAAAAAAAATGTATAAATAAAATGAAAATGAAAAAGAGCTCACCCGGACGATTCGCGTATAAAAAGCCCCTCACCCCCTCCCTCCGACCGTTTCCCGCCACTTTCTCGCTAGTCGCTCTTCGCTCAGTCCATCTCCCTCGGCCGCTCCCGCCGATCGGTGCGCCGCCGAGCTCCCGGAGATGTTGTGGGTCGACAAGTACCGCCCGAAGGCGCTGGACCAGGTGATCGTCCACGAAGATGTCGCTCAGAATCTCAAGAAGCTGGTACCTTCGAACCCCCTCGCCCCTGTGCGAAATTTTCCGGCGCTCTTGCCGTTCCTTGAGCTGTCGAACGATCGTCGGCGTTTCCTAATTGTTCCGTTCTCCGTTCCTGCTGTTGTTGTTGTTGCGTGCCCGCGGGCGCGAAGGTGTCGGAGCAGGATTGTCCCCATTTGCTCTTCTACGGCCCCTCTGGCTCCGGCAAGAAAACCCTAATCATGGCCCTGCTGAGGCAGATGTTCGGGTCCAGCTCCGAGAAGGTTCTGATTTCTTCCGATTGTCTCACGTCGTGCTTTGTTGCTGTGTGTGAGAGGAGGAGGGCGGGATAAATCGTGCTGATTTGTTTGGGATGTGAAGTTCTGCCTTCCGGTGAAATATGGTCTCGTTCCACCGTTATTTTTATCGGCGACGGTGGGTTGAACTTTGTTTTTATGGTTTTTTGCAGGTCAGGGTGGAGAATAAGACTTGGAAAGTTGATGTAAGTGCGGACACTTTTATGATTTTTCTTATGCTTCTGGAGGTATTACTTTTATATGATAGGGTTTAGAATGGCCTCATAGTTCAGCTGGATTGGATTGGAATTGCCTCATACTTCAGCTGGGATTGGAAAAGTAGGGACTGACAACTGTAACTTAGCTGACAGTTGGGCTCATAGCTGTGGGCATTGTTTAATTTTACTGTTTTTTTGTCATGTGAGTAGTCTCTCGCAATTGTCTGGAGTGAGTATCTGTTTTCCCACAGCTTCATTCTTTGGAAACACTGACCTATCAGTTCTTTCATTAAGAAACACCTCTAAACCCCTTTAGCTGAAATGAATTTAATATGTACATATTGTAGCCATCATCCACTGGTAGTGTTTTTGCTACAGGAATTATATGAGTTTCGCTTAAGGTCTGATATATGGGTGAGCTCTTGCTTGTAAATGCATATCCCATTGGTGAAATTTGTAACATTGTGTTAGTGGAGAAGTCAAACATATTTAGGTTCCCTTTTTCTTCTCCTCTAATAGTGCCTTTACTCCTATACTATTACAAGGAGAAGCTTAAGTAGTAATTTTGCCTTGTCTAATATTGAACATTGAGGTATTTATCATCTTCTATTGTCCTTTCAATGCAGGCCGGAACAAGAACTATTGACATAGAGTTGACCACATTATCAAGTACCCATCATGTTGAAATGAATCCGAGTGATGCAGGCTTTCAGGACCGATACATTGTTCAGGAGATTATTAAAGAAATGGCCAAAAACAGACCAATAGACACAAAAGGGAAAAAGGGATTCAAAGGTGATATTGCTTTACCAAATCTTAGTACTTCTCATCCTCTTGGCACTTCCTATATGATATTATCCGCAATCTTGTTAATAAAGGTGAGACTTACGATAGCACATTTCACTCCAGAGATTTTGCTCGACTTTTACGAGCGATATATGCCATATAAGCAGCATATAAGCTGATGATCAAGAGAAGTTTTTCCTAGATAGAGAATGATGTATGCAATTGACGGTGGACAATGGTGCTTAGGTGTATCATTGACATTGATTGTGAGTAAGGGGCATATAATCATGTTGTTCGTCTTTGATGATTTTATAAAAAGACTTTTCAGTTCCAATATTGGAATGAGTGGTTCATTGATGTCTGGCATTATTTAAGTGTTTTGAGATGAACAACATAAAATTGACTATATAAAATTGAGTTTGATCAAAATATAAAGCAAACAGAAACTTTCAAGAAGTTTTTCTGTGAAGGATTATGGGGAATCCTCAAAGTCTCTAGTATTTTCGAGTATTATATGGGACATAGTGTTTTCCTCTATTGCACGACTTGGAATATTACTTAAAAAGGCCTGTACTTACTAAAACTTATGGATTTCTAATTCCAGTATTTGTTCCCTTGGGTATATTTATATATTTGATGACCTTGTTCTTTTTGGAGATTAACATGCTCTATAAGGATGAACTGAAACCTAAATTATAAGATATAATCTTTGATCATGTGGCAGTTCTGGTGCTTAATGAGGTTGACAAACTCTCAAGAGAAGCACAACATTCTCTAAGGAGGACGATGGAGAAGTATAGTTCATCATGCCGACTGATCCTTTGCTGCAACAGCTCATCAAAAGTTACAGAAGCCATTCGTTCTCGCTGTCTGAATATACGAATAAATGCACCACGAGAAGATCAGGTTAGGAGCTTGTTTAGTGCTCTTAATACATTTTTATTTTTTTGGGCTATGGCCTGGTCGCCGGCCATGGCCGGTAAAATATTTTTTTTATTAAAAATATTTTTTATTAAAATATTTTTAATAAAAAAACAAAAATTAAACAAACGATTTATGTTCTCAACCGATTCTGGAACAAAAGAACAGTAATCAAACACCTTTAAGTTGTCATGCGCAGCCTTAGTGTGTAGATAATTCTTTTTGTTCAGCAGTACAAAAGATAAGTGGATAGAGTCGATGTCTTAGTATTTAACATGGAGTCCTTTCTGAAAGAGGGAACTGTTATAGACCTTGTGACATTGATGTGGATCCTATCAGGATCTGTTCTTTTTCTTTGGGTTGGCAACTAATAGGTGTGGTTCGTCCTTTTATATCAAACATCAGATGGTAGAATCGAATCATATGTTGGCAGGTGATTGAGAGTTTTTCTTTCTCCACATGATGTGATGCTCTATTAACAAAATCACAGTGTAGTGCATCAGAACACCTTCTATCGTGACAATAGGGGAATGCTCATACTAAAGCGCATGGATGATAGACTATTGGTCTTGAGGAGGTATTTCATAATGCGTCGATGTTTGTAGTTTAGGTTGCACACTTCCATCTTGTGGGGCCATTTTGAGTGGAGAATGCTGGTAGCATTGCATCAATTCTAGGTGCATCTTATTCTTCCAACTTATTGCATACATCATTGGTTCTGCACTTATATACAGCACATCTCAAAGATCGCAGATTTCTCAAGCAAGATTGTCTGCAGCTACATTATCTGCTTGATTGTTGTGCGGACATTGTCAAGTTATGGGTTCTCATATATTCAGATTTTCTGTCAGATTGTTAAGGTGTTAGAATTTATTGCGAAAAAGGAAGGTCTGCAACTTCCTGCTGGATTTGCCGCTCGCATTGCAGAAAAATCAAATCGCAGTTTAAGAAGAGCGATACTTTCCTTTGAGACGTGTCGAGTACAGCAGTAAGATCTTAGGACTGTTTCTCAGTTGCAGTGCCTAGGAGTTTCTTCTGATTCATCTATTCATGCTAGATTTTTTTCTTTTGGCCATATTTGTAGCAAGACTAACCGATAGTTCTTTCTGTTGATGTATTGTAACGATGGCTTTAGGTACCCTTTCACCATTAACCAAGCAATATCTCCGATGGATTGGGAGGAGTATATTTCTGAGATAGTATCTGACATTATGAAGGAACAAAGCCCGAAAAGGTTAAAAGTGTTTGGCATTCTACTTTCACCAGCTTTCTCATGTGTTGCTTGAAGTGAACCTTTTAGCATTCCTTAGTGTTTTATCTTTCAAATGCCGCTGTTCAATATAGTAAATTGAAAAAAAACCTCTATCGTGTATTTAGTGATCTGATGTTAGTTATTAGTTCCAAGACTTCCATATATAACGAGTAAAACATGCAGATGTCTTTTGACAACTTTGGGTGCATATGGTGCGGTGCATCAGGACTTAGAATATCATTTCATGACGTAGACAATATAATCTCTCTTCTGATTTCTTACTTTTGTGTATGTATCTCTGTGCATGTGTGTGGAGCTTTGCCCACTGCATTTCATGGCATATTTCTTGTCATGATGGAAATGAGCTGTCGATAAACACCTGCTGTTCTTATACTTTAGGCTATTCCAGATTAGAGGGAAACTTTATGAGCTGCTTATCAACTGCATTCCTCCAGAAATCATTCTGAAGGTATAAGTGCACTTCTCGCATCATTTGTATCTTCACCATGTTATATCTAATTCTGTTTCTTTGCAGAGGTTGCTGCATGAGCTACTGAGAAAACTAGATGCAGAATTAAAGCATGAGGTCTGCCACTGGGCAGCCTACTATGTAAGTCTTCACAAATTCAACTTTACGTTGGGCCAGCCTAATTGCAGTCGCTTTGCCGAAGTCTTCTAATTTTGTGATTGCCACTTGAAGAATGTGTTGCTGGGATAATGTACTAATAATATTCTAATGTTTCTTGCTTCCAAATTTTAATAATCCTTCATTCTATCATCCATTAACAGGAACATAGGATGAGGCTAGGGCAGAAGGCGATATTCCATCTTGAAGGTATGCCATTTTTTGTCAAAGTATGACAAAACTAAGTCGCTTTCTCGTTTTACTTTGCTTTGGGGGTTTTTCTCTCCATGGTGGCTGGCTGCATTAAATAATAGGAGCTTGCTTTGGGACTCTCTCTCTCTCTCTCTCTCTGATTGCACGAACGACTTGAGTTAAAATTCAAATTTCGACACAAAAACGGAGACTATAATCCAATTGGTGTTTTTTTGCTGGTCCACAGGCAAACGCATTGCCTTCTGCTTAACACACTCTACTTTACTCTCGTGCAGCATTTATAGCCAAGTTCATGAGCATATATAAAGCTTTTCTGATTGCAACTTTTGGTTGAGGATGCGTCAAGGGTGCTTGGGTTCTGCAACAGTGGGTTCTGCTATTGAACAGAGGGGAGACAGGTGTAAATTGAATTTGGCTTTATGGGGTTTACTCCAGAGTTTGGCAAACAATTGCCAGGATGCAGAGTCGTGATGGAGATAGGTGCAAATTTAAGTTCTCGGGAGCCCCTGCTCTCTTGTTTAAGGTTTCTCTTTTTGATCATTTTCTGATCTTTTTGACTAGTTCAAACTTGTGTGGAAATCTCTATGATCATCTTATCTTCCTTGTCTTATTGATAAATTGTGCTTGATCACCTTCTGGCCATTGGGGAGAATGGCTATAGAGCCTATCCAGATAACTTAAATGAATGGTTTTCTAGCTGCCATATTGACATTAAGCGTGGTACGATGTTGAGATTATGTGCTCGGTTTCTGCAATGTACTTAGCACCACTCTAGTCTTTAAGGAAGATTTGCTCTCAGTTTGGACATTTGCTGTTCAAAGATTTCTCATTGTTGAGATATGTCGATACATGTAAAAGTAACTAGAGAGGCACACATTAAGGAGTAAGACAAGTCAAGACTTCCATAATCATGACTTGAGCCGGTCTCCCATCGCATTTTGAGGCTAATTTAGCGATTGAGTCGTCATGCTGCTTCTCTGCATGACCTGATGTTATTTCTGATTTGTTGTGCACACGTGGATATAGTAGTTTGTGGGAGATTAGTCGAGCCGATCACCTCTTAAAAGAGAAGCGTAAGATTGCATTTTAGCTCTTTAAAACTTGTACAACATAGCTCACAAGTCACATCGTAAAACTTACAGCTCTTATGTTTTATCGGCACTTTTAATCGCAATTAGATAGTGAAAGAACGTAACTACTCGACAAAGAAGCGTATTAATGAACATGGGGGCAGTTAGTTGCTTCCCTTCCATATATAGGTTTCCTACTATGAGATCCCTCTCTTCCAGGCCTGAATTCAAATCCTTGCTCGTCTTGTTTTGGGTATAAACTTTCATAGCAAAAAGCACTGCAGCTACAATTCCATGTGACCGTGTAACCTCCCGGGTTGTCTATCTACCCTTCCAAAATTCAATTTGTATTTTACAATCATTTACCGGGCAGTGTAAATCCCTCTCATCAAGCCATTAGAACAAATAAAAAAGAACAATGTGAGGGAACGAAGCATACATCTACTCTCAATACGCAAAGAAAAATTACTTGAAGAGGACACATATTTACATGGCTCGGTTCTGTGGAACATCTGTTCCGTGATCTACTATACAAACACGAGACTCCTGCGAGTCTCTCTATTGAAATAATAATTGAATTTCATGCACAGAATACAACAGAAGATACACGCATTGCCCACAAGGAATTTGACCTCGCAAACTTTACCAGAAACAAATATTTCTCCGCCCAAAGGATTTAAGCCAATGAGTCTCCAGAACTGCGGTATATTTCGTCAGCATGAGCTGCTGGCACATACACGGCATCAAGCAAAGAGCTGTGAGTCCGTCCATAGAAGACATACACGAGTACCCCGACTATCAGCCACACAGAAACACGAGCCCACGTAGCAGCCCTGTTGTTTCAAAGATGAAAGGGGCACATCTATAAGATCAAGGTCATGAAAGGAGAAAAACGAGGAACACAGAGACCGCTTTTCATGAGAAATTACAAACTATGTGCAATCTCGACTTTATTAGGTTGTCTAATTAATACCTCAAAAGATTAAAGCTTCAACCTTGACATCCGAAAGTTAGATAATGCAGAAGAGGTGGCCAAAGAATGCACTATAAGCATGTTGTGGATTAAAAGACTCACCCAAGATTAATCAGCAGATAAAGGTTGATCAGAATGCAGGCAATAGGCAATAGAGGAACAAATGGGCAAATGAAACCTGAAATAAGATCAAGTTAATGTAATCAGTTCCAAGCTTCTAAGTTCTGTGTCCACTTGGCAACCGAAGCTCGGGTATAGAGAAAATAAATGGGACTAAATTGTGACACTGTCAAATACCAACCGAGGAAATGATAATGCATCTTCGTTTAACCAAAGAAATTCAAATAAAGAGTAAAAAATGAGCCCATTATCCTCAGGCCGTTGGTTACAAGATATCACAGGTGAAGCAAAATTTGCAAATGCTGAAAATTATTAGTATTAAGTTGGAGCGCAGAGGACAATAAATTAGTGATTGTGGTATCAACGCAAATTGAACCTGAGTCATTCCCAGGTCTTCATACTTCCGCGGCAATACACGAAGTCATATTGTCAGCAATACGAGTTGATATAAGTTAAAGTTGATTTTCCCTCCTTTAATCAGATCTCACTTTTCAGTCCTTGTTATATCACACTGCATGAGTTTCCAACCTAAACATCCGCCTCTTCCTAGTCTTAGAATATAAAACAAAAGCAGTTCTCACATAACCTACATGCAAATAGAGGGTTATGTCTGACAAGTTACCATTCAAGTTTCTAATCTGCACAGATGACATCGTCGTGCAACCAAAGAGGACGAGAACATGCAGGAGTAAATAGCACATGGAAAAGAATCTAACATACTTGCTAAACCGTACTCAGCACGACAGATAACATACCTCCTGCATGTCCAAACTTGTGCCTTCTCTCATCTTGATCAATGCAAGTCAGCACAATGAGACCAGACAAAAGGAAAGTGCCACCAACACCACACAAGGAGAAGCGAAGAGAGCTGAGAACGAAAGTAACAGAATTAAGAAGGTAATCTCAGAGAGAGAGAGAGAGAGCATCTATTTATTGTAGAAAAATTCGTTATATAATTATTTCTTTTTGATAAAATTTGAGCATCAAAAGCTGCTGTCTTCAGTGCGTAGGGCTTTAAGTAAAGAACAAAAAAAATTCTCATTTTCACCATCTGGCCTCACACTTGAGGGCTAGCCATATATTGCTTAAACTCCTTATTTCGCAATACAGATTAAGCATAAGAAAGTTCCTCTGGCATTTGAAAAAACGTGACATCCTACAAGTGTCTGCAAGCATTTTTTCCATATACCCACCTGGGAAGTCCCAAACTTGAAGCTGCATAAGTGAGAATGAAAGCCCCAATGCACGTGAACATTATAGTCCAGCCAGCAATTTTTCGCCTGTTCTTTTCTGTCAAGATGTCTGCATGAAGAGATGGAGAGCTTATAAATGAGGCTTGGGACAAGTGTTGGAAACAAGGCATTAAAATTTTTGGTGGTTCTGAGGTAAATAAATGTCTGACAGGACCACCTTCAATGTACAATCACCCTACTTCACCTCATCATGCAAGAGTATAACATTGCATATGAAATAGCAATACCTTGCACTTTTTCTACGATAATAGGATAGTCAATCGATGCGTTCTTTTTGCCTAATAAAGGCTGAGTACTGTCCCCAGATGCGCCACCAGAAACTTCAGAAATGATCCCACTGCTCTCCGGTGCTTCACTATAAGCATCGATTGACTCCTGAAGAGATGATGGAAGGGGCACCTCATCTGGGGGTACATATCTAAGAATCAGCACAGAAATTGCTACCATGGTAAAGGCAAGAAGAGTACCCACACTGACCTGCAAAGAGAAAAGCTCATCTCAGTAGGAGCATGTAATGCTATTTCAATTCAACCTCCAGAATTTATTATCAGTAAATACAATACGATATCTGAAAATTCAAGGATGCAGCACAGAAAAGCCAACTAATAATACAGATTGATCACAATCTTCGTTGTCTTCCTTTATTGATATCCAAACTCGAAAGTCCATAAATCGGGCATTCTCACCTAGTTCGTTTGTTGTTTCCACTTTAATTAGATATGCTTTTGCAGCATGTGATAAGTTCCATAAATGGTCCACATTGGCCTTGTTTTCAGAAAGCACCAATGCTATAGGTATAACAGAGAGCAGCACTTTCTTCATAATGAGGCAAGGTTACCAAACCGACTCAAAGGATAATATACAGGCAAACTCGTCAGATTACAGACATCAGTAGTAATTTACATCTTATGCTGTAAACTATGGTATTGTCTCTGAACTCCTTTTTCCTCGACTGAGTACACCAAAATCAACTTTAACAAAAGATCTTTAGAATTTCACCACCATTCTTAAGATTGAATTCGTCAATTAGTATGTACATATATATGGAAAATTATCACTGCAAAAGTAAAGTCTCAATTTTAGCTAAAATCGATCTTATAACCCACAAATTCTGACTGCAAACACAAACTCACCATGCCAGCCAACTGCGACACATCCATGAAGAATGCCAGTATTGCTGACCCAATACCAGTCACAATAGTGCTCTTGATAGGAACTTGGGTGCGCTTGTTTATATCTGAAAAGAAAGCAGGCAGGAGTCCATCTCTCGCCATTGCCATGAGAATCCGAGGCTGAAAGAAAATTATAGATTTAGAAGGTTAAAGATCAGTGCAAGTATTATATAAAATGTGAAAACAAAATCCGAGCACCAGGACTTCGGTAAGTGGGTATGACATTAAGTCAGCACACAAATACAAGTAACATATTTTCCTGTCGGTGGCAATCGTATGATACAGAGAATACCAGTTACCTAAACAAAGTATCAAAATTTTTAAGCATGATGCCTTTTAATAGCAACAAATGCAGGCACTGGGCGACAGAAAAAGTCCAAAGCACATCATCTGTCTACCTGAGGAAGAATGGAGCCCATCAGTGTGGAGCAGAGAGCAGTAACAGCTCCAGCTGTGATTATGTACCTGCAACGAAATAAGCAAGCATCACAAACAAAATTCTGAGTGCACATCCGTCATCCCCAACAAAAGGAGAAGCTGCCACAAGCACTTCGATACAAATTATACACTTACGCTGCCCAATGCATCCCATGGCTTGCAAATGCAGAGGAGATGGGGGTGTCAGGGTCCATTGCAAAATAAGGCACAAGACCAACAATCACAATAGATACCATCATGTATAGCGCACAACATATTGATAATGCAGCAGCTATACCCAGAGGCAAATCTCGCTGCGGGTTCTTCACCTGTCAAAAAAGTAACATAAGATGACTAAATTTTGGACCTGAAAGGGATGAGATTAAAACAAAAGGCAGAACTCCATGAGAGGGTAAAAAAATAGAGGAGTGAAAATCTGTACCTCTTCAGCTGTGCTGGCAACTGAGTCAAAACCAATATATGCAAAGAAGACGGTTGCAGAGCCCGCAAGCATCCCATCAACCCCAAAGGGGAAGTACCTGTAGACACACTGATTACTCGCAGGAACTTACTTTGCAAGATGTCTACAGGGGAATTTAAGGGAAGTATTTCAGTACCCAGTAGGAAGTTCATAACCAGGCCATCCAGTCTTGAAACCCAGATAACTGCCAGCTACTATGACAAAAATCATAGCACATACGTTAGCTGTTGTAACGATACCTTGAGCCAGTGTACTCTGCAAGACTAAGTTCAGTCAATAGTAGCTCGTAAAGGCACTTTCACATCAAATAAATCTAAAAGAGGGATTACCTCCTTAATTCCCACACATAACAGCCCAGTAACGACGATTACTAGAACTGCAGCACATGGGTCTACCACCATATCAAGCCCAGGGATGTACTGACGAGCTAAAAACGCAGGAAGACTGTCCCCTCCTCCAAAGAGCAATGCCTAGAAAAAATCGATCTCAAAGTCAAACATAAAAGCACCGACATTTAAAAATAAAATCCAAGAAACCTTTCCTTATGGAAGTGCTCTGCAGTTAGCAAAATACAATGCTGGCATGTGCTAAAATAACTCGTAATCCTTAACTATCCAAAGTGGAATCCATCAAGCTACCAACACCACAAAATCTTAAAAGAAAATAAACCTCCTCTCAGAAGAAAAGCAGCCTAAACTACGAATGAAAAAGGACACAAAGCCACCCAATCTGAACTTGCTAGGAAATCCTGCAAAACTAATTGATTCATGACAAAATCCTGACCAGGTTAGGAGATATGCCGCGAGCTACAGCCGAGCCACCAATTGTGTATTCCAGTATCAGCGCCCAACCAATCAGCCAAGCAACACTGTCAAGCAAAAAGCCATGTTGAGATGATGGTTCGAACAAATAATAGAACTCTAAAAAAGGTGGATGCAAGTCTAGCTGTCTATTTCAATTTCAACCAACACAGTCAAAGCCAACTCATGCAAACGCAAGCAGTCGAGATTAGAAGGAAAAAAATGTTGATCATCATAATTCAGGAAGGATGAAAAGAGAAATCACTAATCAAACACAGCCTCGATTAAAGATTGTCCGCGACCTGAAAAATTCTCAGAAAAGTTCTACAGAGTATTACCCTTCTCCAACACATATGTATGAATAATGATACGCGCTCCCAGCAGATGGACAACGGCTTGCAAGCTCCGCATAACAGAAGGCTGAAAGAGCTGCTGCAATTCCAGCTATCAGGAACGAGAAGGTGAGAGCCGGTCCGGAATGCTCTCTAGCAACTGTCCCAACAAGAATGTAAACTCCAGCTCCGATCGTAGATCCGACCCCTTACCAAACCATAAAGTCCGAAGTAAGCTACTGAGACTTTCGATAGTAAATAGGAACGATGCAAAAGAATAGGCCAAACAATTACGTAAGAGGCGCCGTCATGTACAGGGAAAATAATACGCTAAATGCTAAGTTCAGTGACTTTTAAACTGAAATAAGAACCAAAGACCAGAAATTGCTAATTGTGAACGAACAGAAAGAGTAAATCGGTCCACGAAGAAGAAATGTGAAGAGCAAATCATCTTCAAGCCCAGAGAGCACCATGAAATGAACGCCAAAAACTTCATCAAGCAGGGAATGTCAAGTTCGATCAGCACCATCTCGTCAAGAACAAAGCTTCCGAGTTCCAACGGCCAATAGGGAACATCGTAAACGCGAGCCAACAAACAATTTTGCCATCACCAACACCATCGACCACGCAAAAGAGGCCAAAGAACCAAACCACAGCTCCACCCACACCAACAAAACCACAAAAAAAGAAAAAGACAAAGGAAAAGGGGTGGGAAAGAACTTCAGTTCGATTCAGCAATTACCAATGGCGATAAGGTGAAGAACGGACAGCTCCTTGGCCAATTGGTGATGACCGCCGCCCCCGCCGGACCTGGCGTGAGCCGAATCGACCCGCTTCCTCCGCACCAGGCCCTTCAACCAACCCCCCGACGATCCACTCCCACCCGCCTTTTGGGAACCACCCAGAAAACCCATCAGATCGAATTCAGACAGTATCCTCAAATCCGCCCCACCCACACGAAATGGCGGACGAATCGAAAGCTCCTTATATACACAGCGGGACTCAACAGCCTTTTAAAAAAAAAAAAAAAAGAGGAATCAAACGACGCCACCACCACCCCACCCCCACTTCGGCGCATCTTCAGAGACGTGTCGAAGCGGGACAACATCGGAACGATGACGACACGAGCTACAGGGACGGAAGCTGCCCGCGTTTCCCTTGCGAAGCTCGCGACCGAATTTTGGCGCCCCCCCCCGAACGAGATGGTCACGGGCAGAGTCGGATTTGCGAGAACAGAGGGGGGAACGTGAAATGGGAGGGGGAGGAGGAGATGGTCGCCCCCAATTATTTAGCGTGCGGGTCGAATCGCGGAGCTGCCCGATGCCCGGGGGCTGCCCGCGAATTGATTGCAGGCGGAAGAATCCAGCGCAGCCCCTCCTCGGTTTTCGTGACGGCAGCAGGAATCAGCGTCTAGGATTCTGTCGGGGCCCACACGCTCTTTTCCTTGTGATTCTTCTTTTTCTTTCGAGCTCCGTTTATTCGAAAAGTATTATTCTTAAAAAAAAAATTATTTATATCACTTGAAATAAGGAAAAATTGACACAAACAATCTTACAATTTGATTCATGAACTTTTAATTTATTTATTGCTCAAGGAATGATAGTGTGGCTAGATCGCAATTACGAAAAAAACCTAACCTAGATCCTTTGCTTCGTACATATGCGAAATTGCGATGTTAATTATACTCTAACTGTTCGTTTATTTGAGGATGGTTTCGAAAATTGCAGATTTACAAGAGATTACCTGAGGCTACTATCCCTGTGAGGTACATCTATATATATATATATATATATGATGAATGCATTTTACTATTGATAACTTATCGCGAAACATGCTTTTACTATTAGGATAATAGTAACACTTGCCTTATATCTTATGTGTTTTATCTTAATGAGCATGACGTTCATTTACACTGAATTAAAAAGGAATTGACAATATCAAGTGACCTTCTCGTGCTAAAGATAATATAGGGTTCTTTTCCCTTCATTGTATCGTCATTGATATGTTACGTCTTTAAAGCCTTTGAGGACATCTTGCTAATCTAGTCATGATAGCCTTTAAGACCCCCATCGCTATCGATTGATTAGAAGCTCGAGGAATGATAGTGTGGCTAGATCGCAATTACGAAAAAACCTAACCTAGATCCTTGCTTCATACATGTGCGATGCGATGTTAACTATACTCTAACTGTTTGTTTATTTGAAGGAAAATGGTTTTCGAAAATTGTTGTTCGATATTTCAGTGTACGTTTTCCATGGACAAAAAATAACAAACTTCGATCGGAGAAAAAACAACTACCTCTTTTGGCAAATAAACACAAAAAATTCTTTAAATCGCTAAACAAATGAAAATTAACCACTTTCTTTGAAAAAGGTTTTCATAAAAAATATTTTTATTTATCATGAAATTTTCGGTGAAGCAAATCTGCCCTAATTCAATGATATGCGGGGAGGGCGAGGGATGATTTGGATTTGGACTTATATGATCTGTGCTGGTGCTTTTGAGATTGAAAGGCATCGCATGCAGCATCCGTGAACTCTTGTTTTTTCTTTAATTAATTAAAGAGCACGCAGCCTCTGGTGCAATAAATTCCTGGGGGCAATTATGAACTAAAGACAATTTAATGCTAGGGCGGTGCCGGAAAATAATAATTTAATATTTTATTGCTTTTTACACGACTCTTCGAATATCGTCAGCACTAAAGATTTTAAAAAAATATAAAAATAAAAAGTTTTAAACAGAAACGCGATAGTAAGTATTCAATGAGCCTTGATTAACACTGAAGATATAAAGAAAAGTAAATCCTTCCATCATTATGCCCATTAGCGACTAAAGAGCGCACACCCCTAATCATGATTTAATTAATTAATTACTATTCTAGAAAATGATTATTATATTTTCCATTTAACGGGTCCAACCTAAAAAGCTGTCTTCGGCAACCACATGTTAAACATGTGAATCCTGTTTATTTGGGCTGAACATCATCACTTTAAAAGCACGAAGATCAATATCGTAAACACTAAAGATTTAAAAAATATAAAAATAAAAAGTTTTAAACATAAACGCGATAATAAGTATTCAATGAGCCTTGATTAACACTGAAGATATAAAGAAAAGTAAATCCTTCGATCATTATGCCCATTAGCGACTAAAGAGCGCACACCCCTAATCATGATTTAATTAATTAATTACTATTCTAGAAAATGATTATTATATTTTCCATTTAACGGGTCCGACCTAAAAAGCCTTCTTCGGCAACCACATGTTAAACATGTGAATCCCGTTTTTTTTGGGCTGAACATTGTCACTTTAAAAGCACGAAGATCAATATCTTATTAAAAAAAAAAAGATGCCAAGAGAAAAATATATATATGGATAATTATATGAATGGTCCCTAAAATTTGATTCAATAGATAACGTCGTTCATGAATTTTAGATTTGTTAAATGTGATCCCTGAACTTTTGGTAAATATTCACTCTAGTCTATAGATTACTATATCTCCGAATTATCTAGTCCAGGATAATCTAAGGACTGGGTTGAACATGTACTAGGAGTTCATGGACCACAAATTGAACAAATTAAATTTCAGGAACGACATTACACATTGGGTTAAAGTTTAGGAACTACATTAAACAGATCAAAAGTTCATAGATGGTATCGTATATTGGACAAAAATTCACGGATCATTTGCGTCATTTTCCTTGTATATGAAAGAATGCTACAAATGCTAAGGATGATATAAAATCAAATGCGTAAAAGTCATGAATGTGATCCGTTTGATTTTTTACCATGACTCGTATATTTGAATACCCGCTTACATTTCATCGCCTTATAAATAAAGTTTTGCATACCAATCTTCGCATCCACATCATTGCTTGTGAGAAACGTCTGGAGCTTCTTCTTCTTTTGTTTCTTTTCCTCTTTTTAATTGTAAGTCGACGAATCGGCTAACTAGCAATGTCTCACCAATATATCAATACAAGTGCAAATACGCGAGCGAAGACTAATTTGGGTAGGTTGGCTATGCGTGCAAGAAAAACCCTTAGGCATCTCTTCCTCCTTGTCAAAAGCCACGCAGCCTCTGATAGAATATGCCCGAAATTGAAAGCTTCTTGTTTGATTAGGCAGCTTCTTCTTCAATGGACCCTTTTAGAAGAACAAACGGCAAAGACCAAAACAGCTTACGAATGCTCAATTTATGCGCGAATTTCCGGGGCTCTTTTGCCTTTTTCGTGACAGGGGTTGTCGAATCTCTAGTTCGATCGCTCTCTGCGGATACATCGCTGTCGCCCAATTTGTTTTGGGCAAATTATATAGTTCGAAAGGGACCCCCATGTGGCCTTCGATAATGAGGTGAGACCTCAATCAGGGCAAAAGTACGAAATCCAGAAGTTTTCTGATAATAGCAGTGCATGGTTCACGATGGTCGTGTCCGTGTGTGAATAGGCATACGGTTCAAAAGTAGAAAGTCAGGTCCAACGGCGCTCTGTCGTGGCGCCTTGTGGTCCGGACGAGGAGAGCATTAGAATAGTCGGGTGCTTCTTAATTAGAAGCAAACAAAGAACCGTAATTAGCACCAAGACAAAGGGAAAGAAGAAAAACAGCTTCGAAGGTCAAAGCTGCTAGACCAATCGTGGCACGACACCGATTAGCCACGGCCCAAACGACGTAGACATTTAAGCGCTGACATTTTCTCATGCACGTGCATAAATTTTAAGATCTGACCCTTGAAATTCAAAACCGCGAACCGCGCCGACAGTCGACACCCAATCAGGGTCTTCGAGGACTATATTGATGCGGCCAGGCGGGCACCGGCGGGGTTTCAACGTTCAAACACATGGACCAGAAACGAAGAAGAAAGCAGTGGAGACGCAGGGAGGGATGGAAATGGAGCAGGGAGCCATCGTCAAAGGAAGAACGACGACAAGGGAGACGACGGAATGGAATGGAATGGAATGGCGGGTCAGGCCAGACGATGCACTATGGTCAGCACATCATCATCATCATCGCAATTCACACGAGCAGCTTCTGTCGAAACGATTTGTTTAATTCGTAATATATGCGAGGAAAACTCGTGTGGGTTTGTGGAAGTGAATTAAAACGAATATAAAATATGGTTAAGCGGAATCTTCGTCCGTAGCCAAGAGATGAGATCATGGTGGAGGTGGTGGAATCCATCATCATGGTGGAGGTGGTGGAATCCATCATATCAGTGCCAAGATGAAAACGAAGTTACAATGCCTTTTCCCTCGCCATCTGTGAATTATTTTTTTAAATATTTTCTTGTTCTTTTTTTAATGTTTTTTTAATGATTATTTACTATGAATTATGAGAGAGCATGTTGGGGAACCTGGCGAGAGAGACATTTGTGGCCGTGAGTGAAAGAACCATACGTGGGTGTCTTTGTCCAAAAATGCATGAACTTTTGATTCATTACTGTAAACCAAAAAGGGTCTTGTGGTGATCTGGAGACTGAAACTCGATGCTTGCGATCTCAGTGGGCCAGTCCCAATGAAATTCTGATGCAGATTCAGCTATATGTGTTTGTTTCGTAATGTCAAATATTGGGTTTTATCTTGTCAGGAATTATCAAGAAACCTCATGATAGATTATAGAAATCTAGGAGCGGATCTTTACCTATGATTTGCAAGTGATTTCTTTGGTCTTGGAATGTGAAAATGTGTTCTATCTCCTCGGTTCGCGACCAAATTTCGAAGGCGTATTTAGAAAGAGCGGCACTAAACACACCGGCCCCAACTTATATCACGTAAGCGATTTGAAATCTCACAAGTTGACTCCCGTGACACAGCAGGATTATCCCATAGACTTGAAAACCACATACTATGGTATGCGCATGAAATGTCAATTTTCATTCACATAAATTTGTCGAAAATGGGAGAATAAAGATGTTTTATTAATGATCCTAGTAACGTTTAAACGCCTTTCGATTGTGTACCAAAACAAGTTGACTGTAATGTATGCCCGCTAGTAGCAATAAGATGAGAGATGAACAGAAAGTGAAATAAAAAATTTTCTATAATACAAGATTGGTGAAATCAAACAAAAATTCTACATATGCAGAATGTTTTCCTAGCGACTATCCTAACGCTAAGTGTCAGACTAACTGTCAGAAACGCTTTACAAGCATCCTACAATGTGGAGATGCTGCATCTGGCTACCAGAGATTAAACAATTTGAACCCGTTGCTACTGTTCAAAGTGGCTTCATTGGTGGAGTCAGAATCACTTCCAACAGCTTCATCTGAACCATTGCCGGAAGTGATCTGTATTCGGTCAGCATGCTCGATGATCCAGTCAGTGAAATCTGGAGAGGATACCAACTCTGACATAGCTTGCTTGGTCCAGTATGCCTTCGAGTCTTCCCATTCCTGTTCTGTGTACTTCTTTCGGTTGGGTGCCTTGTGAAGAGTTGAATAGTAATCCACGGAGTTCCTTCTCATTTGACTAGCAGGCGGGGTTACAGAACCTGTGTTGGAACAAATAAAAGCATGAGCAATTCGATTATAAGGGTACCTCCAGTTGAATAGCTAAAATCATTTCGTCATGAGCAATATCAAATCCTAGCACGTGCAAACAAACTATGTCCCAATTCTTCCGGTAAGGGCAACATACATATAATATGTCCTGGTCAGTTGTATAAGTGTGGCAACATTCATCTTCGCAGAGTACGCCACTTTGACATGGAAAGAACTACTATGGCAAAAACAAAACGGGAACATATATTTTGGAGATATAATATTAAGTTTTGAGAAGTGAAAGCAAAATGGCCAAGAAAACCTCACGTATCCACACATACAACATTCTCACAGTGAAAAGTTTTCTTCTTCATAGCATTACCCAACAGGTTCAACAGTTACCATCCAAAACACAAATAAGGGATTGCCAAGGTCCCTTTGCCATGTCTAGATATATACATGAGTCAGATGCCAACATGAAACCTTTAGCTCATCACCATATCCTAGTTCAAGTAAGATAAACACATTCAGCCTGGTCACAAACGCTCAGTTCTTATATTGGAAGGAAAGCATCTAATTATAATTTTGCAGCCTTGCTCGTAAGTTAAGTGGACAAATTAGACACGGGGAGATAGGCAACGGGGAGGAACATAAGTACAAGTAGCAAACCATACTTTTAAGCGGAGAGTCCAGCCAAGCAGCAGATTTGTTAGGTCTATTCCACATCTTTCTCCGGTGAAATTTTTCTGGTGACCTTGCAAGAAATTCAGCACGATTGAACTGTGCAGATGGTTGCCGAGACCAACTTGGTGTAGGACTCCAGTTCAAAGAATATGGCTCATACCTGCAACAAAAACATGGGAAACTTTTATTAGATGCTACTTGGGAAAATTGGAAGTTTGTATGCAATGATATCTTCTGGAAAGACCTTAGCTACGATCTACAAGAACACAGTCCAACTCATAATCTAACAGAAGTGAACTGGCAAGTATCCTGAAAGTGACCCGATATATGGGGCATTTAGTTTTTTTCTTTTTCACAGTGACAGAGGATTGTCATAGGTGAATTGAGGTTAATCCATGTACAACCACTTTGTAGGGATTACTTTTATGCAATTGTCAAATGTGTCGTGAAAGGAAGATTAGTCAACTTACGCTGCCTCACTCCACATTGAAGTCACCGAAAAGCAGATAGCCGAACAACAAGCCAGCGCCCCCACTGCCAAAAGAGTGTCAAAAGTACTCTGCAACACAAAATCCAACATATTACAGCCGATGTCTATGGCAAGTTTCATAAAAGCAGAATGCATCGGTCATGTCTAAGTCAAGTAAAAGCTAAAGAAGCTAATAAGATTAGCAAATATGACGGAAGATCATGAACCGTGAGTGACATGGATAACTGGGTGCATAGAGTATGCAGCGGACGTCTGGATAGCTTAATGCCTTTCTTTACCCCGAGGGGAAGCAACTTCCATAAGGGTGTTCACACATTTTTATCAAAATCTAGGAGATACCAGGACAATTTAACCTGAAAAGAAAATACTAGTAGGCGTCTGACTTTTCTACTGATGTGGCACCTCTCTTGGACTCACCAAGACATGTGAGGTTAGTATAGGACTGTGATATGCATACTTGAGACACACTCCTGCAGGGAATGTATCCATACCAGAGAGAACACTTCCAGTTCAGTAGTATTGCCCACAGCCTAATTTATAGATACTTGATGAGTTTTTCTCAAAGTATCATCCAAGCTCACAAATAGAAAACAAGAATATGTAACCAAACAAAAATATAAAATAGCGCACCTGGAAGATTAACGTAGCAGCAACAACACGCATTGCCCATTTCATAAATTGGGCAACACCATCATCCACACTCCCATCCTCTGAAATCACAAACTTCCGAACAATCCAATAGCCTAAAGCAGCTCCAGCTAGAACAATTCCTACTAGTAAGAATACAGATACCTGTAAAAAGAAAGAGTGAGTATAAACCAATCATTATTCACTAACCTGGTTCCCTTGAAAACGTAAGTAGCAAAACGAGTGTCAAGTACAATACAGAAACTTGATTATAAAATCCAACAGACCCTGAATGAAAGAAGGCCTGTGATCTTTTCCAGGGGTCACCCTTCTACAAATACAGGGTGTGTAAGAGTAAAACAAGGTCCGTAAGGATTTCATAGATACAGAGGTGTTCACACTTGCAAGAGGATGTTAAACAAGGAATAGCAGTGGATCAAAAGACATTTTAAGCTCCGTGTGCTCAAAATTTGAGGGAGGAAAAGGGAGCTTGCTCAGCTTTGGCTAGTGACATTTTGAATGCAAATTTATCCTAAAAAAAGAAACTCGCAAACGCAGAGCCACACCTATCAACTAATTACTTACACAAAATAAAGACAGATTCCTCAAGAAAGTACAACTGATAGGACTCACCGGGTTATGCATCTCCTCACTAAATCCAAAACTGAGAAGAATCGAATTCACCATCATTGAGAACTGATGTAGAAGAAAAGATCCAGCTCCAAGCTGCCATAGTTAATTTAATATGAGATTCCTTCACATGGCGCATTAAGTGAATGAAAAAATAAATGTTTGACATCACAGGAAAAGCACTCACCATTGAACCATATAAAGTGAGGTAGAAGGCATTTTTCCTCCCAGTTGGTAATAATTTCATCCCCTGCAACATAGTAAACAGATGCCTTCAGGAAAAGCATGGCGCGCACATTACACCAAAATATAAGTTTGCTACGTCTAAATATAACTACATGAAACTAAGGTCAATACAGCTCATAGTAATTGCCAATGGTAAACTTACAGGAATAATAAGGAATCTACAATTCGGAACATCATTCGTGTCTCACTTGAGAAGGCAACTGACCAACAAAGTGACACCAAAGATATCTAACTGGCTGACCATATAAGTCCATATCATCCTTTTAGAGAGTGAGACCCAGCGCAAGTGTTTATTTGTGCTAGTATGTGTAGATGATGACATAAACAGATGTGTCAGCAAGAAATGGATATAGCACAATACTACAATCAAGCATAAAGGAGATGCTCCAGGATATAGTGTTTACAACAACCAATAGAAACTGGCTTCTGCAAATATATGCAGAGGAGCATTTGTGAAACTACTATACGGAGGACACTAGTATGAATTTTATGTGTTGAACCAACAAGCCATACGAAGTAAAAGACCAAAGAACAAAAACACGGTTGCTTTACTTTGAATTGCCATAGTGTGCACTAAAAACAGGGAGAGAAATGCTATTATTGGTGCCTAATTGGTGAAACTTTCTTAGGAGAAGGAAGAATACCTGGAAAAGAAGGATAATGATGACCAGAAAAACTCCTATGGCCATTGAACTGCTATAGTAGAAAGGAACCCAGCCACTAATAACTGGGGCCAGCAGTATCAGTATAAATCCCAACGCCAGACAAAGGAGGCGCCACTGTTGAGGCTCTGCCATAAAAAATAGAAAGCCTCAGCTATTGTTCCTGAAGTATGTGCAATATGTATGTAGAGGTATACTATAGAACAAGATTCAGTTAAGAAAGTAGCCGGACCTTCAGAAATGGAGACTGTGAAATGACCAGGAACTTCACCGATGATCTTGACATCAACATATCTATGTTCATAGGGTGATATGACAGAACTCCACACGCCTTTTTGAATACTCTTCCACTCATCTTTTTCACATTCACACAATGCGAGAGAAGAGTTCCTGGGGGTATAGAAATCAAACATGAAACTAAGCCAACTGGAAATACAACAGTATCAAATTACAGAAAAGAAACCGGTGACCATGGAGAAGGATAATAAACCAGACATCATCAAGAAAAGTTTAACTTACCGGTGAAGGCAAACCTGAACTTGGCCGTGTAATCTTTCTGGAATTGATACTGATGGAAGCACAGTGACACGTAGTGCGCTAGAGTAACTTCCAAGTCTCAATCGGGATAGACCAATTACTTCAACACGTTCACACCTTACGATTTCTTTAGTACCACGGCCAGCTAGAACGCCAGAAAGTGTTGATGGTGTGAAATCAATAGATGGTTGCCCTAGGTTTACCCCTGCAGGTCAGAAATGAGAGTCAACATCTTTTAGCAAACTAAACCATTCATTTGACCTAAAGAAATTATCAAAATGACTTGCTAGCAAGAACAATACATCCAAAACACAAATTGAACCGCTAATCCTACATATAACAGTGTGTTCTGTTTTCTTAAATCATTTATGCTAGTTAGCCTTACATTATCAGCTCTAGCAAACGAACATTTTGCTTAAAGCACAAGCTTCTACTGATGCTATTGTGAAAGAAAATAGCAATTGTTTGCCCGTTTATGAAGAGTCTAGAAGACCTTAAACTCGCACGATGGCTTAGACTTTGAATGTAGCCTCCAATCGGTTTTCCAATTATACAAATAAAAATACTCATCCAAAACAAAACCTAACCAAGGGTCCAAGAATACAAAACTAGAAACAGTTTTTCAAGGAAAATGAAAAAAATAAAGCCATTTCAAACAAGAGGAGCGTGAACAGTTTTATGAAGCGTCATTGCTTCGTAAATTCAGTGTCAGACAGATGACCCGTGAGAAATCAATCAAATAACAAGAGTGCAGAGTTTGGACCATTATCACAAACCAATCCCTTCTAGTCTTTGCAGAACCACCAAAACTGGGAATTTCTCAGTAACACCACCGCCATTATCAGCCATGTCAAATGCATATGTAACTTAAAGACCAGAGATCTAATTGCTAAGTCACTCGAGCCAAGCAATCTGCACCTAAGAACCAAACTTTTGCATGGCTGCCGCATAATATCTCCAATACAAGCACATGTCACACAACTTCACAAGAGCACCATTTGGAAACGAGAGGAGAACTCTGACAGTCATCCAGATAATGAAACAGCGCAATATAAAGTGAGCTTTTTGTGAACAACCCTCGGACTTCACATGAAGAACGCATCTCATATTGTATCTTTCCCACTCTAATGCATTAAATATTCTACTCATTGCTTTAAGCCATTTTAGTTAAAACAACAAAAGTGTGGCGGTGGACAGCATTGAACATAATTAAAGCTGAAATACCTCATAATGAGAGATCAAAAGAGGGAGCCAAAGGTCCAAGTCCATTACCATACCTAGTTTGATAATTCTACTTAAAAGCTTAAGCAAATGAGTTATTGAGTTATAAGACAAGGGAGCACATGTTGCACTCAGAACAATACCAATAGCAAAAGATGGGGAATCCCTTGACACTTATCCGCGGCGAACATTTACTCCAAAAGCCTAAAAGGCTGACCAGATTCTGGAGTAACAAAGATTACATCGAGCACATTACTCGACAAGAGCAAAAGAATGCCCAATTAGCTCAAACAAACACAGAGCGAGGAAAACCCTCACCGTCCCTCGTTTCAGCTTATCCTAGAAGAACCCAAAACAGCCTCATCGGCCTAGAACATGTTACCGCCGCAGACAGAACCAGACCCAGTAAAAAATTTCGCAACTTGACGACCGAAACTGTCCCTATTAAGCAGCATGTTCATCAATCCCGAATCGTCGACCTCGAGCACCCACGTCTCGAGCACGATTCGAGCCGACTTCCACAGACCCAATAGAGAGAGAGAGACAGAGAGACAAAGCGCGCACCTTTGAAGCTCGGGGAGTCCGGGATCGGACTGGGGTAAGCGAAGAGCGACGAGGAGAGAGAGCAGGCGAGAAGAAGCAGCACAGAGATGGCGAGAGGCGAACCCATCGCTAGCTAGCCGGCTCGCTCTCCCTCCCTCCCTCCCTCCCTCCCTCTTCCTACCCGGACGGAACGACGAGGCTCGATCTCTCTCTCCCTCTCCCTCGCTCTTGCTATGGATGCAAGCCAAGAATCGGAGAGGAGTGAAAAAGGCGGTTCTTGGGAGAATCTTTCATCTCCCTCTTCCTCTCTCTCTCTCTCTCTCTCTCTCTCTCTCTCCTCTCTTCTTGAATTGAAATGGCATGGTGCGTGCGCGTTGCCTGCTCCCTGTTATAAAGTTTGGATTTTTCGGGTCGATGCGTCGCGAGCGCGTCGCGTCGGGTCTAAGCTTTTCCCTCCTCTTCCCGCTTCGCTGATTTGATATTTTTTTGGCACCGGCGTATACCTCACTTGGCCAATTAGGTTGATCCCTACTGCCTACTTGTTGTAGATCTCCCGAGTAAATGCCATTTTAAATACCCAACTAATCTCGCGAGTTTAGAGATAATTTTAGGATTACGATTAGGTTAGTTATAGTTTACCGAATAAGTCTAATTGCTTTCTCTCCCTCGTATGTAGGGGGTCTTGTGCTCTTCATTTGGTAGTGTACGGGATAACACATCTCTCTTGCTAGTCGTCGCAACTCTCAACTGATTGGATGAGTATCAATATGAAATAGCTTCTCAATGAACAATTCATGATCCCTTCCTTAGAAGTTCAAACCAATGCCGTGACTTGTTACATCCCCGTCGTGACTTGTTCCGATGGACAATCGATTTCTTGAGCATTCATAAATATTCCCGATTCTTATAGCGACATCCTTTCTCGACGTTGGGTGCCTTTGGTTTGGCTTTTAGGAAAAATCTTTGGAAAAATGTAAAAGCCTAAATTAAAAGGATTTTTTGAAACGGAAAGAGTGTTCGTAATTTAAAAGTACGTTGAAAAACATTCTTGCTTCAAATGGTATTTAGAAAAATCGCACTTTGTAAAACACTTTTGCTACTTTTTTTTACAAAAAAAACTTCAAAATCGAAAAAGGGCTCGGCAGCCAACAACGAGCGGCTGGAGAGGCAAATTTGGCTGCTAGCAATCGTGCCTGAGGTCGAGTGACCCTAGGCGAGGGCGAGGCTGGCCGGCGCCAGACTGGCTTGCCGATAGCCATATTTGGCCTCGCCGGCCGGCCTCGCGCAACTCTCGATGAAGCTTCAGCAAAAAAGACGAAAAGTTCTTAACGAGAGCAAAACCAGAACACGAAAAAATTTGGCGAGTGCATTTCATTGTTTCAGGCACAGAGGCTCGGCAGCGTTAAAAATAGCATCTTCCCCGGTATGGCGCTCTACGGCTACAAGCGTCGTCAACATCAAGTCGCGGACGAAGAAGCCGAATCCGCCCGCGATCCCTTGCTGCGATGCGCGGATCTGATCCTCCCGTGGCTGACCCCGCAAGAGCTCGCCGCCGTCTCCCTCACCTCCGCCGGCCTCCGCCGCGCCTCCCTATCCGTCGCCCGACGCCGCTCCTCCGACGCCGCCCGGGGCCTCGAGCCCCTCCCCGTCCCCTTCCTCAGCGCCGTCGACTCCCGCCCTTACGCCTACTTCCTCTACGCCCCTTCCTCCTTCTCTCGGGCCCTCTCCCCGCCTAACGATGCCCTACTCCCTCTTCGCCAGCCGTGGGGCTCCTCGAGCCGGACGGTCGATCGACCGACCGCGTTCCCGAGCCGCGAGGCGGCGGATGTGGTGGTGGGCGGCGTGGTGCTGGGGTGCGGTTGCGAGAGGTGCGAGGGACGTGATTGCGCTTGTTGGGGTGGCGATGGTGGTGGGGAGGAGGAGGAGGAGGTGGTGGTGGTGGTGAGCGAGTGCGGGCCTGGTTGCGGGTGCGGGTCGGAGTGCGGGAATCGGGCGAGCCAGAGAGGTGTGGAGGTGAGGTTGAAGATTGCGAGGGATAAGAAGAAAGGATGGTGCTTGTTCGCCGATCAGGCGATCGAGAAGGGGCGATTCGTATGCGAGTATGCAGGTACTCCACCGAAACTTGATCGATAAGTTGTTTGCTTGAGCCTTGAATAGCTGATGGGTTTTAGTTCATTTGACTTAAAATGGTCGATTTTTTATTCGTTGTCGGTCTGGGAAGATTAGTTTAGTGCTGAATGTAGGGGCTAGGACACGCAGTGAGTAAACGGTTTGTTCTATGATGTCTGCAATATGTCCGTTTCGCTTCCTTGCGAGTATGCAGAAGGTTGAAGATAGTGCATTGAGGTTCCTCTCCGGCGCTTAATTCTAGCATGTAAGATGAAATCGAGTCTTTCAAAAGACTTCGAAGAAACTTCTGTAAGGGTGCCATTTTTCGGAGCAAACTGCGTTGGGTGCTGTTGTTTTGTCATGTTGGCTTATATTGTTTTAGGAGGTTTTTCAATTGTGATGCCCCAGAATGTCGTCTTCTTTGGGTAGGATGGACGGTCTGCCACTGGAGAATTTCGCCTAAAGGGGCGCAGAATTTGTTGGCTTGTGCCGTGTGTGAAAAAAAGAAAAAGAGCTAAAGCTGCTGCCTTGAGTTTCTTTGAGAGGAAAAGGGAGAGAAAAGGCTCAAATGATGTATACCTTTTGCCTTGAGGATCTGCCATGCTATTCCTGGTTATTCAGGCTGCGTCCTTGGAGGTTACACCTACCTTGAAGATACAGTCTCACTATAGATTCTTTTTACTCTGCTGGTTACGACGAGAATGCCCGTCTCTCTAGATCTTTTGAACCTTTATTTCCTTTGGTGGGTAGGTTCTCTTAATTTGAACTTGAACCCGAATTCCGACACCAATGTGTGTACCGGTTTTCTGTTGAGGTTGCATCCATATGGTTCTCCCTAGATCAAATTAGGTTATCTCTGGATATCCCAACTCACTCCTAGTTCTCTACCCTGAATACATCATCATATTCTTAACCCAGGTGGCCTTTCCTCTTGGTCCCCAGATTTTTCAAATTACAAAAATATGCAATTGCATCTTTATGCATCATCAGTAGAAGTTTGCTTCTATTTCATGTTCTGAATAGCAGAACAAGGTAATTCATGAGATAGGATACATTTCTATGCACGATAGATAGACAATTGCTTATGGCTCTCACATATCCTGTCAGCATTGACATCAAGAATTTGAGGAAATTTTTATTCTGATCTAAATCTCCACTGTTAGGTGAACTCTTGACGACGAAAGAGGCAAGGGCGCGACAAAAAGAATATGATGAACTTGCATCGAGTGGAGGTTTCTCATCTGCTCTTCTGGTGGTGAGGGAGCATCTTCCCTCTGGAAAGGCCTGCTTGAGGATAAACATCGATGCCACAAAAGTGGGAAATGTGGGGAGATTCATTAATCATTCTTGTGATGGCGGTAACTTGTCCACGGTATTAGTGAGGAGCACAGGAGCTTTGCTTCCTCGCCTCTGCTTCTTCGCTTCAAATGACATACGAGAAGGTGAAGAGTTGAGTTTTAGTTATGGAGAGACTAGGCTCAGGTCCAATGGTTTACAGTGCTATTGTGGGGCCTCTAATTGTTTTGGAGTACTTCCTTCAGAACACACTTAAAAAGCAAATGCAAAATTATCACTTTGTTAGCACTGTCTTTTCAATCTCTAGTTTGAGTATTAAACCTACATGCATTCGTCTTCTAACTCGGGCTATCTTGGGTTTTAAAGAATCTGTAGTGTGGATCGATCCTACAGTAACTGGTCGAATATTTGATACATACTAACCCTTTTCTAGAACGAATCGATATTATCGTGCTCTCAATTGAAACTATGTACTTGTGTTAACAAGAATTGATTGCGACTTGGAGAGATGAATGTAAAAATCCGGTCCAGCTAATTCATCTGCAATGTTCAACGCCTTATCCTGACTTTTACTTTCACTAGGAGCTGTCGATGATCCTACACATTGGACCATCCGAAAGCCGTTATAAGTCATGGAAATTCCAAAGAGGGCAAAAAAGAATTGCAGTGCTTTGTTAAGCTTTTGGCTTTACTTTTAATTGGTCCGCCAACGTTGCAAGTTTTGGCGCACAGAGAAATCTATCAACCCGGGTCCAGCGCCTAGAAATAGTTTGGTACAGATGGATGGAAGTATACGGCTAGAGAACATTCTCCTTTTAATAATAGTTTCAGGTGGGCATTTCAAGAGTCAAAAGAAAAATTTAAATTTTGAATTGCCCAGTATGGCCTCACGTGCATTTATGAATAAGATGAATATGCTCCTCAGGACACAGGATTGCTTTTGGCTTAGCTGTCAAGCCTTAACTTATCCTCTGTTTCATTTCATTCGTACGAGAAAATCCAAATAATTAATGGAGCCAGACTGTTAGCCGGTGCCTGCGGTTTTGTCCCTAATCCATGAACTCCTATCATACACCACGTTTTATAGAAACATCAAAGGGGAACTCTACAGCCACAGGGCCTCAGTTCCAAAATACATAAAAGGAAAGGGAAACATCTATCCATGCACTCTGGAGAAACCCCAAAAAAAACAAACAGTGAGAAGACTTTCTGTGTGAATCTCAGTATCAGATGGGCTAGCCACCGCTCTCGATAACCTGCGGACCCAAGTACTCGATCGAATCCATCTGCGAGTTCTCCGGCACGTCGATTTCTTCTAACCAGGCAAACCTCTTGCCGTCCTCCTTAGTTCGAATCATGTCGCCATCTGGATTTAAGAAGATCCTAAATAAGCATTTTGTTTTCCAGGCAAAAACTGTATCTAATGATGTTTCGATGACCAAACCATCCAATTCTCAAATTCAAAGCAAAGTAATGGATGTCTCGAGTGCAGCCTACTCTCAGCATCTTCCAAGTTCACTTAGGTTAAGTACTTGATGTAAAATGAAAAGGAGATTTAAGTGGGTTTATAGTAAAAGAATGCAAGTCTATAGTTCCTTTGAATTGGTCGAATATGCTCTTGCAAATATCTAACATATATTATGCATGGCCTTCCAGGATATTTTCTGTATCCAGTCCATCCTCGTGCACTTTCCACGGTTTCGAACATTGATTAATGATGTTTGACTTGTTTGTTTGGTAGATACGTATACTAAAACAAATAGAGATACCACCCCCCTCAAATAGCAATATCCTACAGCGCACGGCATGCATGATACTGTCCCGGTTCATTGAAACATGCTCGAAATGGAAGCGGGCAGGATGGCGACATCGCAACCAAGCCATAATTTAAAATGCAACACAGTGCGCGTTATATAATCGTTCATATACTATGTATCTTCTAGATTTAGAAAACAGGTGCATGGCTTGATGCATAAAGAAATTATATGCAAGCGATATGAGGAAGTTGATGTTGACGTATCTAAAATGCACATGACTTTGAAATTCATTTTGCTTCCACAAAGAGATCGAGCAAGAGGAAATATTCTACTTACTTAAAGCATCATCAGTAGTATACGGAGTATCCCTATAATATGAGCAGTCACGGCCTTCTTCTTGGGAATAAGGAGGTCCAAGGACATCTAGTATCGCGCACGGTGTTATCGCTGTGAATGCATGGATATTGCCTCCCGTCGTTGGATAAAGAACAGAAGAGTTGCATGGCGCTGTGAAGACACCGTCGGCTTTCACTTGTCCCAATCTAACTGCAAGTACATCGGTATTGCTCAATGACAATCACCGCTAAATAGCATCTCACAGCTGGATATGTAGCAAGAAGCGATGCACATGTGCTCATGTGAAGTGCGAAAGAGAAAACTCACGTTTTGAGGATGTTGTCGAGCCATTCGATACGTGGTCGGGGTCAACCCAATCATACGATTTGATGTGCATCGATCCTAGTAAAAGTTTGCTGAAAACGGTCATTCCCGGGTGGTTGTGGAGGGGGATGACACCAGCTGAAGGAAGGAAGAATAAACACAACTGCAAATAGACAAGCCAAGAAAACATGTAAGTCAATCTACGAGTTTTCCAAAAAAAAAAAAAAATTCTAGGAGTTTTCCAAGAACTGAATCAAGAACTGCCTACAACAAACTTCAGAGTACAAAATGTTAGGCTTCCAGATGGCAAATCCTGGCAGAATGTTTCGGATGGACTGGTGTAACCAATCCCAAAATTAAAGAACTAGAAGTTTTTTCCCAGTCAGCGAAATCTCGGTGTCAAGTCTTACCGAGAAATTATCGCATTTGTATATGGTGGTGTAGGTGACTCTTGGCGTCGCTTTGGTTGCGCTTTTAGGGTTGAAAAATTGAAGATCCTGACTCAATCCGACATCCTCGGGTCTCATATTATCTAGAGTGAAATAAAGATGAAGTTAGAAAGAACCACCAATCCACCTCATGAAATATTATAGACACTCCTAGTTATACTCTATCTACAAGCAAAATTTTCTATTGACTCGACAGATCGGAGTCAGTTTACAGCAGTAATTAAATTGATGGAATTTGATTATCAAGAAACACTTAAGAATCAGATGTGCATCCTGTGGAAGCTAATCTTGGATCAAAAAATTGCTAGAAGCCTAACTTTACCAAGCATGATTTAACTGCACCACTAACAGAAGTGAAAAGAAAAAGCAAAGCAAAGGAAAGAAGACAAAATTCTTCTCCTTTAGACACTTGAGAATAGAAACACAAACTCATTTAGCTTTTCCAAAGTATTAGTTTCTCAATCCCATCTACTATTCCCGGAACTTAAAGTTGTATTAGATTCATCAAAAATAACGTCGGCAGGGATGGCCTTGAAATCGCAAAGCACAATAAAAAAAATTAAAAAGGGGACTACTTGGCTCCAGCCATATCAAGTGTGGCCTACATCAATCAATATTTCTCTCAACTATATCAACTAGACATAAAACCCAGATGACGCCCATACAGAATAATACTCGATCCATAAAATAGTGTATGGATGACGATAAACGGTAGCCCAGAAGACAAAAGGTCCTCAGTACAGCACCTCCTTCCTTCAAAGGCCAAAGGCTTTTGATTTTGTTAGAAAGGCTCTTGATTCGCTTCACATAGCTAAATCGACAAGAGGGGTACTTAAGATGTATAAACGGAAAGATCCCTCATGCCCCTACCAATTTAACATCAGAGAAAACCCGCTACTTGGGGAAATGGACAGTGAATTATTGATGTCTCTTTCATAAAACCCACAACTTGCTCTCAGGCGTTAGATTGTCAACAGTCAGTTCTGTCACCAAAGCAGATTTCTTAGGTCAGATTGTGCGCAACCCAATAAGCAAAACGCTGGTATGCCTCTTTCAGAAATAAAATATATTATATTAGTGAACTAGCATTCGATGGAAAATCAGTGATTGAAAAAACATTTTGTATTCTTATTTATTTTTGGTCGTTTTTAGAAAACATTTTTCTAAGTCGTTCCTATCGCATTGCTAAAGATTCCACGTTTGCTTAAAGTTCTTGCCAAAAAACCAATGCAACGTCAATCAGAACCAACTCAATTACGAATGATGAAGGTGGGGTTGGAACAGCACAAGATCACGGATCCATGAACATGGCACAATTTGAGTTGCTCACCGAGAATGCGGCACAGTCTCTGGACGTCTTCCGGGGCAGGGACCGTGCCGGGGCCTTTGAAGATGTCCCGGCAAGCGAGGAACAGATCCTGCAGGGCCATCGGGTACGGCAGGGCTCGGCGCCGCCTGATCCTCCTGGTGCACCTCTTCCTCTTGATCACCCTGTTGACGTACCCGACCTTGGTATGATTCACTTGCCCAACTGACTTCCCGCTCATGCCCTGATCCACCAACCTCGCTCCTATCCTCATCGGGACCGGTTTCAATCACTGTAAACCACTCAGAAGCAATGTCGCGGGCTGGTCAAGTGCAAGCGCGAGAGGGTTCCAGAAATCTTGATTTTCTTGTTTCGATGCTTCAAATCAAGCCGAGTTTTTTCCGCGTCGATGAGCAGCTAACTAAGTGTTAATTGGTTGAGGATGCAGGGGGATTAGGAAGGATGCCTCCTCCGAGTGCAAGAATGACTGATCTGGAATGCACGGTGTTAACTCGAACCGAAACCAGACCGATATAGCTCTGTCAAACACGTGGACCGGCGAAGCTGAAGACAACCCAATTTGCTCAGGCCAACATACGTCGAGCCTCTTCTCGTGAAGCTGATTAATGGGTACGCGTCGAATGGGACGCAGGAGAGAAGAGCAAGTCGGAAACAAGAAGAAGAAGAAGAAGAAGAAGCCTTGGAGATGAGATGCAAGTGAAGGGAGGTGGGAGAGAGAAGGTTGGAGGTGGTAAACAGTAAGAGGAAGAAGGCAGATATATAGACGTGGCGTGGGGAGAACAAAACCAGGGGCCATCTCGGAGCAGGATGTTGCTTTCGCAGATCGAAGAGAGAGAGAGAGAGAGAGAAGGGGAGAGAGAAGCCACGTCTAGTTCCCCATAAAACCAGGGGTGGCTTGGAAGAAAACCGACTGTTTTCTTCTCAAACTTGGGGGCGCCAAGTCTACATTCCCCACCTCTCTCTCTCTCTGTACTATGCGTTGACCAGACCACACACGGTAAACCAAGGAGGTTTCACAAACCGTAGGAAACCATCATTTGTTTTTTCCGTCTCTTCTCTTTCGTCGCAAAAGCAGAACGCCACGTTTCCTTCTCAGTGGATGGATGCCTTTCCTTCTCTCTCTCTCTCTCTGTGACTCTCTTTCTTTTATCATTGTTATATTGATGTTGGTTTTCGTTTTTACACTCCACAGATTACATCGCAGTTTTGTTACGTCAGGCATGCGAAACAGTGTGTGTGTGTGTGTGTGTTGTGTTGGGTTCGTGAAAAACCATGGCTTTGCTTTCACTTCCCCACTTTTCCCTGTCGTGGAAACAGCGCCATGCTTGGTAAATTTAACGAGAAAGGGAGAGAGACCTTATCCCCCTCGCTCCCGCCGTGGTCCGCCCACGACCGAGAACGTGACGTCACCCGTGCTCGGCGGCGACGGTCACGGTCACGGTCACGGTCACGGTCACGGCGGTGGTGGTGGTGGGGTTTGATGGAGACCAACGATTTTCTCTGTCGCGTTCCTGCGGGTGCGGGTCATCGACTGGATAAGACATCGGCATTTCCCAAGGCCCACCCACTCCTCCCCATTTCTTTCTCCAAAGTGCTTTCCTTTCTCTCGATTGTTTCTGTACTTTTTAGGGAGAAAGAAGTTTTGGATCATTGATCAGCCAGTGCGCTTGGCACTCTGTTGCTTGTATAATCTTTACCCACTTAATATGGTTCTTACTTGCTTAATCAAGGCCCGATCTTGATGATTATCACGGGAAAAGTGGGTGCATTGGAAATTTATTATATGTTTCGAGACACGGGTCGAGATGTGCCGTCGAAGATCGCTCCTTTGACGGAATCCTTTGAAAAAGAATGTTGGATTATATTCGGCCGTGTTCTTGTTTTGTCGCACAAACTTCCTTCGTTATTTTTATATGGCACGACTTTCCATATAGCAATGCATATGTGATATAAAAAAAATAGCTAGTACGTTAGGAAGGCATGCAAATAGAAGATGATCGAGGAGATAATCTCATAGAGCTGATCCAAATGGTCCGAATAAGCAAGCGCACCAATAGTCGGGATAACGCGAAAAGTCGTGTTACCTAAACTGCTTATCAATATTCACAAACGTAACGCGTCATAGTAATCACAAGGACATGATAGGACGTGCTCACGCTGCTCTAAATGAAGATTTTGAGCTCAAACAGTGCTCAGTGTCGAGAAGCCTGACATGTTCACAGTTGACACGTCGCCCGCCTATCCAGGCGTGAAGATTGATATCATATTTTGGGAATAGTTAGGTTTCGGCTTATGCATAGGCAGATTCTCGAGCCCGCTCGACCCGCCCCCATTTAAGCTTGTAAGTTCCCCCAAAAAAGCAAATACCAGCACTTCCAAACTGCAGTTCGGCAGTGGGACCAATGCCTGCCACCAGCTGTTCTACATGCAAAAGCAGGATCGGAAGACTTGCCTGCGAGAGAGTTGGCAAATTGGCACTCTTTTTATTTTTTTTCGGTGGGTCGCGGCGGCAGCGGGTCGTGGAGGACCCGAGAGGGGCAATCGGCTTCGGGTCCTACCACGACGACACCATCCGTTCTCGGATTCCCCCACCCCCCCTTGAAAGGAGCAAAACTGTGTATGAACACCCTTCCCACCCACCAAACTCACCGATCGTGCTTTGGATTCGATCTTTTTGTTATTTGGATTGAGGAAACTTGTGGAGTTGGTACAAGAATCGTTGCTCTTTCGATGGGTGAAAATATAAGAATAATTCATAATAACAAGGGGCACTCGTAAATCCACGTCTGATCTATTATTAGCGGGGCAGTGTCTGTCCTCGAACTGACGAAACCGTAGTAGCTTTAGGACCAAGTTTTTTAATGCGGTAATGGCCGAGGTTGGGATTACTTGTGGTAGTCCCTTTGTCCCTAAATTCCTAGCCCCATCTAGCAGCAGCTTTCCTGCATCGTTTGGACGAGACACTGTTCGGAGGATATTGGATTCCGACGGAGGTTTTGGTGGAGTATATCTCCGGACGTTGTTTGGAGTTAGGATGAGAGTGGTTGGTGGGACACGTTTGTGTACCGCATTTGAGATTTTGATCGTTTCTCTTTTTTGCGGCTCCTCTCGAGCCGCAAGATAACAACTTACGTGATGCCGATGGGCGATTGACTTGCGCAGATACTTAGTGTTGAACAATCCTAGACATGACTCTTTAGGATGCCTTCCCATCCATGTTTGGGTGATGCGCAAAGGGCTTGAGGCAAAGAGACTCCAAGCCCTTCGAGATCAATAGCGAACATACTGTATCATTTGAAATTGGGTACTACTACGATTTACTTTCTCTAATCTTCATTGTTAGGGACAATCCTCTAAAGAGATTCCATTTTCTTGATTACTGAATTGACAAAAATTTTAAAGGGTTTAGGACTATATTGATACAATTGAAAGGTTTAGGACTAAATTGGCTAATCATGGAAAGGTTTAAGACTGAATTTGAAAAATTTAGGATTGAATTATCTACCGTATTATAGATTTAAGCCTTTTTGAATAATTATCTCCCATTTTCTTTTTCTTTTTTATCCTTTATTGGCCAGAAGACGAGGTCTTGATTCTTAAGTTCAAATCCCACTGTCCAATCCGAAGAAATTTGTTGTGTAGCCTGTACGAACTCCGAGCCAAGTCATAGTCCCCCATCTACATGGCGTTAACGAGGTGATAGTGAAAGTGGCCAAGGTTGTTGTTAGTCTGCAAGTTGCAACCTTGACAGGCATCAATTGAAAACGGCGTCAAAAGTCACGTGCACGTGCCAAGTTGACGGTTTCCGCTTGGCTCCGACCCGTCCATCTCTTCCTAGTTCACACTGATGTTGTCGGATTCGGCATAAACAGCGGCGACAAACCACACCCGCTATTTGCCCTTTTGCTTCCCCACATAGGTTTCCTAGATTCTACGCCTTTCTAGAATTGAATATGATGAGACCGATTCAGACATACAATGGGTCGTGTACTATGCCTTGATTCTACAGATGGGCTGTCTTCGTTTTACCTTCCTTTTTTCTTTTTCCGTTTTGTCAATGGCGGACTCAATCGGTTACATATCTCGCATTGCCCCCAAAATGGAAGATCATGGTCTTTCCCAAGTTAAATTCAGCATCCATGCGGACTTCCGCTTTCACGTATCGATGCTGACAGATTTGAGTCCAGTCACGTATACGAATGATCTCCCCTCTCGTCATTGAAGGTAGTTTGCTTATCGTGTGATGCACCGGCCGTTAAAACGGCGAGAGAGGGCCTTTTGGTTGCATGACCAATTCATACGATTGATTATGCAGGGAAAGCGATGGAACCGTGCAATCCCAAAAGAAATGAAAAGAAACGGAGGCTGCACGGTTCTACTTGTAAGTTTTCAAGTATGGAGGATAGAATCTAGAGATTAGACACTGACAGCTCAGAAAAAGTCTAATGGGAAGAAGATAGCTGACAGCCTGAAACAAGTATGATCCGTAGAGTCAATAACAAATATTCATGAAGCAGAGAAGATATCAACAAAGTCGGCAGACAATGTCTTCTCAAAATTCTTCCGATCAACACCCAGATCCTTCCGAAGCTCTGCTCTGCAATAACCTGCGGCTAATTTCCTAGTAGAAAATATTCACCTGTTTGCCCTAATTCCTGCAAGAGGCTCACAACACTTAAATTTTGTAATGTTGAAAAGCACAAGATAAAGACCAATTTGGTAGCGAGTGCTGGACAATTGTGTAGTTTCTGTGAAATGAAAAAAAAGTGCACCACCGAAGCTGGATGTTGAGACTCCCACATTTCAATTCAACATCTTGGCTCAGTATGGAAACTATATACGCTTGAGAAGGATCATATAAGTTTCTGCAGTACACCAAGTTATGATGGCACTTGTGCCCCAAAGCAGGGCCTTCTGCAACTCTCTCCCCACTTTGGTGACATCCGGATGAAAAATTTGTACCAAGGTGAGCGGAAAGCAACGGTTTGTTGTGCTTACAGATTTAAGGTCATCTCGTCCATCTCCAGAATGCAAACAGTATAACAATGGTCAAAATCATGCCCCCATACTTGATCCATCTATCACCACGGTGTCGCTTCTCAATTAACTTCAACACGGAGTTGGAGAGTCCAACGGTGTTGAGAACATCCAGAGCTTTCCTTTGAGCTTTCTGAACCAATATAAAGTCAATATAAGAGCTGATAATATTTTAAACACAACGGGGACAAAACAAAATAAAACACAGTAGCTTAACGTTGGGGAAGAATAATACACATTATTGCAACTTAGATAACAAGAGTTCCTTGAGTTAGCAAAAACTCACTGAAAATGGGTTTGATGGTCCATCTTTTTTATTTGATATAATATTAATATATATATAAGGCATCCTCTGAATAATTCAAATCGAAGCAATTGGATGCATGACTTGGGCCTATATGACATGACCGATCAACAGAAATACTCCATCACTCCACCATCTCTCTCTCTCTCTCTCTCTCTCTCACACACACACACACACACACACATGAAACCAATGAGAACATCGATTGGTTTTACCTTAAATTGCTCTATATTAACGGACTGTAGAACTCTCCAACACACAATAGACATGCACCAAAAACATTCACAATTGGATGACATATTTTGAACATGAAATGCAGGAAAGAAAAGCAAGGCACTTGTAATTATTCAATATACAGAGCAACAGCTGCACGGTGCACATGCATGCAAGTGCCAGCTGAGTTGGCATATATCTAAGCAAAGGATACATGCTCAGAGATACCTTTAAGCGTTCACGTTGCTCAGAATATTTTGAGAGGATAGCCACTCCAGTTGCATAGGATTCTTCGAGCATCCGGGCTGAATTACGGGCAGACTGCATTGCTTGAGCTTCGTCATCGAAAATTCTCAAAACATGTGCAGAGTCTCCATTCTGTGACATATTAGATGTGTTAGACAGTCAAGTAAGATGCAATTACAATCACAATTATCAGTTTGTGCCATAGATTAGGAAATACATACAGCTCTTCCAAGCAAATCTGCTCTCTCTTTCGCTTCCATCATTTTTTTCTGGTTCCTCAGGAAGTGCTTATCCAAACTCTCTTTCAATGATTCAGTCTCCTCAGCTACCTGTTCCACCTTTCTGCAATAAAATCAGAGATGAAGTCAATTAGAGCAAGAGCGACGTTAGTAAACAAACAGGAGATAAATGGGGAGTTCTAGGGGAAACTTCAGATACAGACACTCATCAATTTGTTAGGTAACTCAGTAGAAAGCAAGGTTGGCAAAATTTGGCACGCTAAAAAATGAACTTATGTCACCAGCAAAGTAGTCGTACTACAATTAAAAAGATCCAAAAGAGTTCATTCAACTTAATTGAGCTTTAGAGAGGATGATTGCCGTAATAAATCGACTCATCTCTTGCTTCAATCTAGAGAAGAAGTGATGGTTCATAAGTCAGTCAATCAATAGTACTAGTTAGCTCGACGAGGACAGTGAAAGCCATTTGATACTTCTCAACTGGTGTAAGAATTGTCCGCATTAGCCACTAAATAAACTAGATAGACCCTTGATCTCTAGATGTCTTATCCATTTTTGAAACTCATAAACGTAATTGCTGGATGCATAAATGATAGTCCGCCGACTGACCAAATAAGATTATACAAAAAAGCGCATCCAGACAATATATATCTCTCGCACACCATAGCAACAAGAACAGCAATCACGAAGAAGCGTGTAGGTGAAATCAGAGCTCGTGGATTGCGAACCGGTCGCGCACAAATCGCTCCAGGCAACGAAATCCATCTGGGCGGATTTCCCAACAGCACCAAGAAGAAGCACAATACAAATAAGAGTTACGGCATTTCAGTCTCATATCGCAAGAAATCCACAGATGACACTCGCAATGAATCCCACACCAAAGGAAGTGTCAATTGGGAGCTAATATAGGCCTAAAGCTGATATACACCGTCATGCAAGCAGAAAAAAATGACATTCGGATTACACTCCATCTACGAAACTTCAGTATCGCGATTGAAACAGCAATAAAGCAAAAAGTGCCAGAAACGTCGGATTTTAGATAGAATCGCGCGCTCGCCCTCTCCTCGCGACGAGGATGTTTACCTCTTCCAGAGATCGCGCTGGGACTTGGCGGCGATGGAGCGCCAGAGGCGTTCCATCTCGGCGCACAGGGATTGGATCTGAGCGATGTCCCTCTTGATGGAGCTCGAGAGCTCTTGCGATTCGAGCCCTCCGCCGCCGCCGCCGCCGCTGCCGGAGGAGGAGGAGAATTCGAGCCTCTCCAGCCTCTCCATTCCGGCTCTGGTCCTAAGCAAAGAGCGCTTCGCGCTCTGGTACAGATCCGACAGCGTGCCTCCCCCGCCCGCGGCGGCCTGAACCGCCGCCGCCGCCATCTCGATTTGCAGTTCTCCGATCGCGCTTTCGCTCGTCAGACCAACGGATCGAGACGATGATCGAGAATGTAGAAGTGGAAGCGTACTTCCCTTTTTTTCTTTTTTCTTTTTGTATGGTCACCCGGCGCCGGGAATGACTCACACCACGTGGACCTTCCAATGGGGTTTTGACACGTCAGCTGCCTTGGATCGCCTCATGCCGCCGGGCAAATGAGAGGGAGAGGGAGAGGGAGAGGGAGAGGGAGAGGGATGACTCCGGCTATGGGAATTAACTTTTCCCTCCAAAAGTACAATTTCTGAACACTTGTTAATCAAAATATTTTTTCAAGGGCAAAAATATTATTAATTAAGTTGACTGAATTTTTAAAAAAGAATTGCCAATATAGTTTTCAAGACACTTTCAAATTAAAAAACTGTTGACATTTCAACAAGGGTTGTGAACGCGTACTACACAAGTCAATCCACGTATTTGTCACGGTTAGCAAAATACTCCTGTTATGAAAAATTTGGGATCCTATAGATTTTTCGATATTTTCATTACTATTTTTTCAACTTAGCATATTTAAACAACTTATACACGTGTGTTCTTTATCTATTATTTATTCGGTGTCTGTATCATGTTGTTGGCGTGTTACTTCTTTCGATCAAAACTTCTAATCAATTTCGCATGATAATCATTATCACATTTTCTCGCTTATTTCTAAAATAATTGTACCTCACACGTAACTAAATACTCGGATGGACATATATACTGTGTTTTTAAAGTTCTTTTTTCACATTTTGCCTAGGACTAAAGTCATGTAAATTTTCGAAGGTAACACCTGATGCATGAGTAACCAAATTTAGGGGCCATATTGATCAAAGGCCATCCAAAACATCTGTATAGCACCGAAGTAACCCTCGTATTTCATAAGTGATCACATTTTCACTGACCAAAAACATAACCCATTTTCTCTCTCTCCTCTCACTTTGCCAGTGAGCCCAACCATGGCAGTAGAGCCGTTGCCGCCATGGTGGCCATCAAAACCACCTTTTCGGCCTCCCCCATAAGCATCGCACATGGCCAAAGCCCCACCTCCGTGCTCACCGATGGCCCCCTCCCCCTATCTCTCTGCAAAAGGCAATCAAGGTCGGCCATGCAGATCACGACCTCTACAACCTAACAGGGAAATCGGGCTTGTGGTGGAGTCATATCAACAAGGACTCGCGACGAGGCAGCACGGTGACTTGGATCAAGGGAAGAAGAATACAGGGAGGAAACAGAGGTTAAGACCATTGAATCGTCATGTGATGGTGCTTACAAATTTCTGGAGGATCTCCACCCTCGATAAATAGTCGTGCCTCGAATCATTTATGCCCCAAAGAGGATTGATCTAGATTCTCGGGGGCTCGTACCTTTAAGATGCAAGCTCCCCACCCTCCAAGGATTTCGACTTCACCCGTGATAATATGTCAGCCGCAAACAGAAAATAAAGGAACTAATCAAGCACTCAGAACCCCAATGCTTCATTTGGAAGGGGAAAAAATTGGACTAAAATCATTCCCAGCGGTGCCTCTCGATATAATTTGCTCTTTTCTTTCTTTCCCAAGTTAGTACGTTACTGCTAGTTTACTTCTCACTACTTGGTCATATTGCGGCCACCTACTCATCGGAAAGTCGCACTCCGATTCCCGGATGCTGGGAAAGCTTGGCGACGTCTACCTTGTGGGAGCCGGCTTCCATCGTCCTTCTGGAATTGATCCGTGGGCGAGCTATTTTTTCTTCCTCTGGAATTCAACAGACGCTTTTGACCTTCATCTCCACCTGATCCATCCTTTTTATCCACCCCAAACCCGACATCGCTCCTTGCTGCTTCGTAATCGAATGGCTTCACCTGTAAAAAGCCGCTCGTTTCTTGAGAATTCTCCACCCGTCCAGCCTTCTTGTTTTGCTTGACGGATTCCAAGCACCTCTGGAAGCTCGATGACAAGTCTGTGAGAGAAATCGCCTCATCATCTTTATCAGTTTTAAGATTAGGTACCGTAGAATCAGTCTCATCCAAATCCTTTTCAGTGTCAGAATCATCTGGTAGTGATTCCTCTGCATTGTCATTATCTTCCAACATTATGATATCTTCTGCCTTGGAGGTAGCAAGATCTAGAATATTCCGAGCTTCGGATTCTTGGGCAGGCTCTTCTCGAGGTGCTTCCGGTTGCTCCTCGCTCCCTGAAAAGGAGTGGAATGGTAGGTTCACCGAAGATCTGATTTGCTCCAGCTTTGACTCTTTCTTGTCCTGTGAGAAGGATATGGTTTATTGACATTCATTGGTCTTTACAGGAAAAGGGCATTGGTTCTAATAACAATAACAAGACACTTACGAAGCAAATTTACCATAGACGCCCTTGCATTGACCTTTATTATGGCTTCTACTATATCCAAAAATATAACTGAAAATGGTGCATTTGTTTTGTGGAAAATCGATATTTTAAAAAACTTTTCCAAAAAAATGATCCCTTGTATTACTTGCAAAAATAAATGAATGAAAATATATATTTTCAATCATAAATGAAACTGTTTTGGCATAAATCATTGTTGGTAACAAAAACATTTCCGTTGGCTTGTTATTCTAAGTGATCCAAATAATCATTTTTGGGAAAATGTAGTCCAAATCATTTTTTTTTCTGCGAAATGAACAGACCCAAAGCAGAATAGGACTTGAATTAACCTTTTCGTCAGTGTTACATTTCCTCTTTGGGCCCAACTTTCCAAGAAAAGCCCCAAAAGCACCACCAGGCTTCTTCAACACCTGAACAGAAGCAGCAGCACCCTACACTCCAGACAATGACCTCTTTTTATGCTACAATGAACTTAAACAGTAACCTAATTCATAACAGATTGACAAGAATCAGGACTCACTACATTTGCAGAGCACAACAACAGTGTTTTAGCAGTGCTGTCTCCGCTCCGGTCCACGTTCAACAAAACCTTTTCATCTTTGGCAGGATGCTCAGAAATGACTTCCTGGTTTCCACGATCACCAACACTATGGCATATGGTACTGACGCAATTGGTACCTTCAACTATCTCGTCATTTTGTCCAGATGGAGTATCAGGAGGCGCAGATTGAGACCCATCATTAGCCAATAAACTATTCTCCAGTGCCTACGCAATAGGAAAGGGTTGTACATATTGAAGCAAAGATGCTAACCAGAAGCCAAACCAAAGCGTCCAATTACATTCCTGATAAATGCTACAGAAAGGAGTTGACATTTTTCAACTTACAAAAAAACATATTCAGCTGCCAGCACTTCATTTTCTGATTGACTCGTCATTGATGGACTCAGACATCTAAATAATGGTGCAAGGGCAAACATGTAGCTTTAATTGGTATATAATTATATGAATGCAGCAAGAACACTGAGGAACATCAAGTTTTCAGTGGATGAATGCATTCTTTAGCTTTGACTTGCTCCGAGCTCCATTCTTGAGAGACAGCAATTTTTTCCACTCTTTTCTTAGAGATTTGTAGCTTAACACTCATTGCTATATGACAATACTCTTACAGGCCCAAGGCCTATTGTAAAATGCTTTGAGAAACTAAAAAAACGAACTATCAGTTCACAAGTATATGAGACTTTTGAAATATTTATAGATGACTCCATTCCCAAGTCTAGTGTACAGTGTTATCATCAAAGTGTAATGCAAAACTTACAATACGGCGCTCCTTTAGTAGTTCCACCATAGCTTCATAAGCAGCAGCATTTTGTATTGAATTCCTAATGATGCTGACAATCGAAACAAGATTACGCTCAGCATATGGGTGCCTTGATTTGACTAACCGCAGTAACTTGCCAGTGGTCACAGGCATCTGCTTGGCTTTTCCCACAAAACAAAAATCAATGATGAATCAGGAAAAGCACAAGTTGTAATGGCCACATAAATCAATGTAAAACTTTGCACAGTTGCAGTACCAATTTCAAGAAGAGTTTTATTTGGTAGTATATAACCAGTACTTTCATCCTGAGCACGAGCAATGACGTCTCGCCATTCATAGAGCCCCTATAAGATGCTTAAGTAAGTTATTGAGGGATAAAACACAAAACCTTGACCTTGCATACTAAAGAGACTAAATTATGACATCAATATAAGTTGAAATGCCTCACAAAATATCCTGCATAATCTAAAGTTTCAATGTGCAAGACTTACAAAACCACTTCATAAAGACATCTAAACCAGGTGCATGTGAAAGTTGTAGAAGTTACAGATGGTATTTTTAGAATCTTAATTCAATTAAAGCAAGAATTAAAATAAGACATACTGCAACAACGGCAATTTGTTGAGCATTGAAACCAGCCCCTTGCAACCTGAATAGGTAAAGCAGAAACTAGGTGTCACATCTTTTACTGTGAGATCTATCAACATAGCCAAAGAACAATAGAGAACAGCCAAAGCATAACTAAAAAGATCAGTAATATAGCAACGAACCCATAGATACTGAGATATGAAGTATCTGTCCAAAGATCTTTCTCATAAAGCTGCACGCATAAATCATAACTGCGCTTGTAGACCTGTTTGCAAGAAAAGGAATCTCAGGGGGGGAAGTACTAGAATGGAGCACCATTCCTGCTACCTGTACCCATAATTTATTTTCACTACAATCCCCTGCCATAGTTAACCAACAACGAAAAGTGGCTCACAAACTGTACTAAGTCAAGTCAAATGGCCAGTCCTGAATTAGCAACGAAAATAATGATATGACACACAAGTCCAATGTTGAACACAATGCACGAAACCGAACCCACATCCCCAGCAAAAGTCCTTCATCTGGAAATGCTTTCAAGTTGGATCATAAACATGCAGTGACTTATTAAAAGGAAAATATGCCATCAAGTCCAACATTCAGGCATCATATGCAAGTCCTTCCAAAGCCCTTGTTAACAAAGGAAAGGCAGCAAGCTTAAAAACAAAGGGTAACACCCCACCGGGCGAAAACACAACTCTTCTCCAGAAACAAAAAATGTCCATGAGCAGTGGGATCTGGCTATTAAAGGTCACTTAGATGCCGAACTATCTGTTTCTAATGTGGATGCCCATAATATCTCCATGACCAAATAATGAGTTGGAATAGTCAAAGAAAAATACCTTCACTAAATCATCATCCGTATTTCCAGACAAGGCGAGCAATTCATTCCTCATCACGTCATAAATGTGCAACAAATAGTGCGTGTCTTCTCTTGCATATCTATCCAGATAAGATATAAGGTGAACAGACTGTAAATAAAATACTTTAACCCAATTAGAAAAGTAAAAGGATAGTTGAGGACTCAGTAAACATAGGAATCTGTGCTGGGGCCACTGAAGAAGGCTGCTAAAAAGCATGTTTAAGTTTGGCTCTACTAAGATCTACCTTTGCAGACTCCTATTCATTGTCAATTCATCTTTTAATGGGCTCCTGATGCATATTACCTTATCATCTCGGGTGGAAGAGGACGTAGTCTCCAATCCGCATTCTGGTATCTGCATAGAGTTGATCATCAAGATTGGTGTAACAGAAAGGAGAGAAGCAAAGCGCTTAAGAAGCAAAGCAGACCTACTCTTTATTAGCAGTAACTCCGCAATAGTGATGCAGCAGATACTCCAAACTATTTCTTTCCAATTTCAGCACCCTTGAAGCCTGATCAAGAAGAGAATGAGACCTCTTAGATGTTATTCCAACGAATAAGAGATCACTTAAATGCATCACATTGTTTGTACTTGATTCAAAAGATTAGCATTCATCCTTGATTTTTCCCAGGATATTTCTCTGAGCATCCATGCATCCCAGCCAAAATCCATCAGAAGTATGGAAATCAAAGATTATACAAATAGTCTATACTCAAATATGCATAACATTTGAAGATGGCTAGAAATCCAACCAAGGTGATTAAGCACGTAACTGTGAAACCAATCTAGTACATCATGTGTCATGACAGAAACAGAATCCCTAGAAAACTTCAAAGATTAAGACAAAAGACTCCTCCTTAATCAAAAATAGTCTTCTTTTCGAAACTGCGTCCTTGAAATTTAGGAAAGGTTCAGATATGCCATCTTTAAAGGAAAAATTTAACCAGCAAGCAAAATTAGAAACAGTACCTGTCCAGTATCAAACATGTTGCATACATATATGCCAAAGTCTCGTTGAAGCCATATTATATCTCGATCTGCTCCATGCATGACCTGGTCAAATATCATAATGTGCATTATTATACACCGAAGTGACCAAACTAAGTTAAACAATGTGAACATAAAAGACAAGGTTTCGACCTTTCTCTTGGAAGGATCCTTGAAAACTGCCCTCAAATGTGGCCCAATTTGAACTCGAAGCTTTAGAGTGTCCACTACAAAATCTTCAGTTCTAGTGGAAACTTGCATCAAGCAAGTCAAGCCTTGGAAAGATCGATACTGATTATGTTCCAAGTCAACCTAAATGTTTGAAGACAAAGGAGTTCAACAACAGCCATCAATTGGAAGGGAGATAAAAATACAAAATATTATTCTTTCAACGGAATCTCATCTCATTTTGATTTTATTTAATGTAACATATTCCTCCATATTGTTCTAAATGCCAAGACTTGCTAGAGCATGGAAAAACAGAAGAAACAAGAAAAGTATGGGGAAGAAATAAACAGGCAATTGTTTTGGAAGTAAACCAACTCTTATACTAAACTAGAATCATACCTAATTATAAGATAGATGTCCCAAAGGAAAAATCAAAACCTAATCTACACAAACCTTCCATGCAATTGTTACCATTAAACCATATCAGTAGTTGGATAAGCATGATTATTAGAGCCAAAGTTATACCGCAAATTCATCTACACCACGCAATTTAGCTGCCATTTCTTTCAAGTCTCTAACTTCCTCTACAAGCTTAAATGGCGTACTCTCCATTGACAACGGTTTAACAGGCTCTTTGCTGGCAACGGGCTTGTCAATAAAATCCAACATGGAGAGCTCCTCCTGTCCATAAAAAAGAGTCGAATGAAATCAACAACAAGAGATATTCCGCTTCTCTACACTCCCATCCCCCATCAGGAATCAAATTCAAGAGAAAAATTAATCCGAAAGCAGTCAATAGCTATACGAAACAACCAGATAAGCAAGAATTTAGCCAATGAGCAACCCAAACCACATGCCAACCAAGATGTCCATAACTCAAAGTCGATAACATAACAATCCACCCCAAGAAAACCAAAGAACTTCCCCAATGAGCAACTAGCACGAATAAACACCAACCAACACATGCATCATTCGAGTTTCCGCAACCGAGAAGATTCCACTCAAACAAGACATCTGTAACTCACCAATGGGTGAATAAACCTCTGGCCATCCTCGCTCTTCTGCAACCAGACATGCTGAAATGGCTGGTTCGCATTGTTCACCGAAATAAAGAACTCCTCTTGCGACCTCCTTATCGTCGGGATATGGAACGGCACCTTCGGCTTCGGCCCGCCCACTTTCTCCTTCAAACTCGCCACCTTCACGCTCGATTCCCCTCTCCCGTTAACCGAGTCGGTCGCGGCTCGACCCGCCGCGCCCTGCGCCCCCTTGTTCTTCTTCTTCCCATACACCAGCTGAAACCCGCCGTCCACCTCCATTATCCTCTTCCCGCTCTCCTCCTCCTCCTTCCTCACCCTCCGGAACTCGTCCGCCGAGGCGTCGAACCGCTCGAACACCTCGTCGTTCACGTTGACCAGCCAGTCGTACGCGTCCTCGAGGTCCTCGGGGAATGCGGCGTCCTTGCCCGAGGCGACCGCCGACGAACCGATGGACCGCAGCAGGGAAGCGGATTTCTCGGTGATCTCCCCGACCGGAGCCTTGAAGTCGTCGAAGTTGCGGTAGAAATGGAAGTCCCTCTCCGATGGGAGGGTCCTCGAGGAGGCGGAGAGGCTGGAGAGCGAGGAGTGCAGGGCTTGGGCGAGGTCTTGCAGCCCCCGAGCCTTCTGGGAGTTGGTCTGATCGGAGGAGTCCATGGCGGCGGCGGCGGCGGCGGCGGCGGCTCCGTCGTCGGCCATGGCGGTCGGGGGGAGGTGGGGGGATTTATCGAGGGCTTTAGGGCTACAGTTTCGTTTTCAGGTGTGGCCCATAGCACAGAGAGAGAGAAGAAGAAGAAGAAGAAGAGGGGAAGAAGAAGAAGGAGATGAGAGTGAATAAGAACAGATGTTAAAGCACCGGCGGAGATATTTACTGTTCTGAGGAATTATCGAGTACGTGCGCTTCATTTTTCATGCGGTGAGACACGTGCACTTTGCGCTATCTGGACCGTCGGCGAAGTTCAATATTCAACGGTTGAGATGGATCGGGGAGTTTCAGGAACTTTTTTCCCATCCAGACTGACACGATTTAATATGTCTTCAAAAATAGTTTCGATTAAAAAAAATTATATTTTTAAAATTGAAGATATGGATGAATACGACGGACAATAATCGAATTATAAAATTAATAATTATACCTCTAGCAATAGCAAAAATCATACATCCCCTAGAAAATGACACAACGCGAGAGTACATCATCGAATTAGACATGAAGCGATGTTATTTTTAGTTATAAAGTTCATATTTTTTTCTTGAATTTTCCTAATTTTTAATGATTTTTCAATTCTACGCTAGAGTCGTAAATAAAAGTCAAAATCTACTCAACTAGGCTTTGACCTAGTTAGAGAAAATCTTGACTTTTGGACAAGTAAGCAATTATTGTAAATCAACACTCGTTTTTGGGTTAATGACATGAAGCGAGTATGAGTTGAGCTAATGTATTCTGAGTGATAATGGGATGATATATGATAGATGAAACATAAATTACGATCACTACCAAGGTCCAAAGGATATGCCATCAATCAAAGATAAAGATCGAGAAATACAAAGTTCACCACCAAGGCTTAAAGAACGAAGTACCCGTCAAGAATAAATGACTTCGGGATAAGAGAAACTCACCATTAAAGCTTAAAGGAAAACCATTAGCCAATGATAAAGACAAAAGGAAATAAAAAAATGAGAAACATATTTGCTCACATAGAAGAAAATCTCATATATTGGTCGTATTCAAAACTTGCCTCATATTTGAGAACTTTCTTCTATTTATAGAGGGATTAAGACATAAAAAATAGCAAAACATTAAAGACATGGTAACTACCCAAACATTGAAGATATAGGAACTAGCCAAACCTTAAAAGACATGGAAACTACTCAAACACTAAAGACATAAAAGCTATCTAAACATTATAGGCATGGTAACTACCCTAATATTAAAGACACGGGAGCTAAAAAACACAATAAAGACCTAGGAACTCGAAAATGACTTGAACTTTGACTCTTCCAAATTTGTGCACCCGCCTTGGAAGTCGATTAGACACATTTGAAGAATAACAATCAGTGATAGAAATCGACTAAAACAACCTCCGATCGTTAGGTAGTGGATTAGTAGCCTCGGAGTTGACAACAAGCTTGTTAATCGACAACTAGATAATGAATTGGCAACCATGAAATTGACAACTATTCTGTATTATCGACATCTTCAAGCTAGGACCCATTGAATCAAATTGTGCCCAAAAATTGATATTTGAGTCAGATCAATTGACATTGACGAGTTTAGAAGTTAAGATTGAGAGTCGGTTGATATAACCCAATGTCCCAGCATCACATCGGGACAAGTGCAGTTCTCATTTATAATAGTGTAGATTGTAAGACTCATGCACTAAATAGAATTACTAAATGAAATGGCAAACAATAACTGCTTATTTGAATTAGCGGGAACATTTTAGCAGGCAACATAAATTTGTACATCATTCAATGAATTCATTAAGTTTATGAATCTTAATTTCTTTAACAATACTCTTTATCACATGCTAAATAGGAACGCATGTTTGCAATTCTCCATACTTCGAGGACAAACACATGTTTTGATACTAAAAGGACTCATAAAAAGCATCGTTGTCGCTAGAAGGAAGATCTGCTCATGCTTGCTTGCATTATACACATAGCAACCCGTAAAAAGAGCGGGTGTTTCAAGATCGGAATCTTTGAAATTCAAGCAGTGATGAGAAGATGCGAGCGCTCATCGATACTACGAGAGCTTACTGTCGTCGACAGGACAGTCCTCAGCTTTGTCGACGATGCGCACAGGCACAGCCGATATGGAGTCCCACCATTCGTTGAGCCGTCTCTTCGTACGGTCGTCTTGTGAGCGCTTCCCCCACTTCGATGTCGCCATGAAACCATACAATGTGGCTCCCATAAAGATGTACTTCAGCGGTATCGCTGCTATTACAATGGCCACGGCGCACGTTGCCATCATCACCATCTCAGCATGCTGCAATCGGAAGGGAATAAATCATTATCACTTGGCTAGCGGGAAGAGTGAGTACACAGATTTCGGTTGAAAAGACAAACAGGAGTGTTTGCCAGAACACACATCAAGCAACTTCAATTCTGTAACCCGGCAAAACAAGGAAAGAAAAACTTAGATTCTGTAATGTGTATCTAGTCACCAAATGTTGAAGCCCAGAATTGTGGGTTACAACCTTCATTTGTAGGAAAATTTTCATCCTAGAAAATTCTCGGAGCCCGTTTGCAAGAAACGAAACTTAACAAGACCAAATCCTGGGCCGGTGAAAGACATCACTAAAGGTCCCGTCAGCTATTGTTGCCACCTTCACTGTCAACACACCAAGCACTGGTTTCCCCACACAAGATAAAGAGATGAGCGTACCTTACGAGACCTCCCAAGAAATATCGACCGGAGTTTTAACAGTGTGATGTTTACTTTCTGCACCATCTCATGGACTGTTTGTAGCCCACGCTGAGCTGATACTATGCTCTCCACCGTACTCTGATCAGACGCTGTGCAAATTACAATCTCCTCTCTTTGGTATTCTTTCCTCTCTTTCCTCACATGGAGCATCTTCAATACAAGCCAAAACAAGCCAGCTGCTATAGCCTTATTGATCCACTCCCTGCAAACTCAAAGCTGTTACCCAAGCACATTACTGGTCGTGCGATCCAGGAATAAGCTGTCGGTTACAATACAAGATAAGGCATCGGAATAGGATAACTCACATATAAATTATCACAAGAGCTGCTGCAATTACGGTGAGGGTTGTCATTGGCCTTTGCCATGTTAGTATTTCTTGAAATTTGGGCAGGACGGCGTCTTTAAGTCGCTTTAAGAGTTCCTGCAAGCATAGCAGAATGAGCTACGTTGCCATAAATGCAAATACAAGTATAGAGTTTTCTCCCCTGCTGACCTAAAAACCATAGTGATCATCCTTTTCTAGGAGTTCCGATGCAATTGCAGTTCGTTACTTTCTTCATAGTTCATTGCAGATTCTTTCATCGTATGACAGAGATATTTAAATCGTGCAGACTAACCATAAGAACAGCGGCACCATCACCGATCCCTTCCTCTTTCCTCCCCTCCGTGGTAGCCTTTGCAATTTCAATTTCTCTTGCTTCCTCTCTAACCTTGTTGATTGCTGTCTTCAATGAGAAGTAGTTGTCTTCTTGGACACTAGCCGCGGTACATGCCTTGCCCACTTCTTCAACTTCCGTATCTGGGAGCCTCAATATTGACATGTTAATAGTCCTCAATATCGAACTAGCACTGCATGGTTGTCTGCTTCCATCCTTCTTTAGGCTCTCCGCCAGCTCTTCAAGCACATAGTCACCCTTTGGTAACTCATCAAACAAAGCAAAAATCAAGAAATTTCTGGGAAGAGGAGGTGATATCCTCAGCATCTCTCTTGCGGCATGGAGCCTTACGATCCCCAATATTGTCCGCGAATGTAGTTCCCACGCTTGTGATGGGCTCTCCACCTTATGTCTGGATAAAAACTTGTGCATCAACATTATCTCCTTTGTAAGCGCTAGCCAGTGGTCACGTCTTGTAGAGCTTGTTATCTCTGGAAACTCCAGAATAATTCCCTCTGATCTAAAAAAAGAAAAAGTCGTGCAGCTGACTAGTCATTGATCTAACAAGAATGTTATCACTCAGTACTGAATTTGTCTCTATTTTTGATGTCGTATGGGCTAGTAACGCAAATCTCTAATGCAAGACATGCAATATTAGAAATGAAGTCAGGGTCGATATTTCGGGAGCTCAGCTTACAGTTCAGGGGACTCGTACACCATAGCCTTGTCAAAAAGTGGAGCCCCGAAGGGCCCTGTAGCAGCAGGTTTCACAGTGTGTTCAGCTTCCTTTGAGAGGTCAATCTTAATTGCATCTTCATACGAAATGACTCCCGAAGCCTCGAAGTAGAGAGCATAATTTGTTAAGGTGAGTCTACCTAGGAAAGCATATTTATTTATTAAGAGAATAAAAGATCTCAAGAAACCAAAACATCTAAAGTTAAAGATCAGCTCAAGTGCTAAAAACAAAAATGTCCAAATTCAGGACAAACCAGGCCAGCTCTTTCCTCCAATATGACGAACTACTCTTTGTGTGCTTGCAGTTCCTTCGACATGCAAAATTAATTCGTCATCCGCTAGGTCAACACCCTTTGGCACCTCCTGTTTTTGCAAATACCTAATGCATCTGCGCAAGATGCCGCAGACAAAGAAGGAAAAAATCGAAGCAACCTTGATGAATTGAAAAGCAGATAAATAAAAGATATACATGCAGCATATAGGGCCAGTATGTTTGAAGGAACTAAATGATTCTGATTTGGCCCAAGATTTCTTCTCTCGGGAAAGTCATTCACTACAAACACGCTCCTTACTGTAGCAGGCAGTTGCGTTCGATGGTAGTTAGGATACACTCCGCGTAGTGCATTACAGATACTTAAAAACTGAGATTCCCGATGCTCCCCTCTGAAAATTGGAAATGAAGTATTTATGCAAGACCAGGTCCATGACTAGTTCATGTCGTCACTCCTGACATACCCATGGCCTTTGCCTAAGCATCATAGTCATGCATCATTATTTACTAATTCTGCTGTCTTGGTTGTTTTCCCCTAAGTCCTATGATTATCTAAAACAGGTTTTGAAATCAACATGTGATAATTATACTAAATTACACAAAGCTTGGATGCATTACTTGTCAATCTCTTTCAGATATTTATCATATGCAGGAAAATGGAGACGATTTCCTGTAGGTGCTGTAAGAGTTTCAAAGGTAAATCTCCCATTGGCTATGTCTGCAACCAGCGGAAACAGGGATGCCAACCACACAAATGCATCTTCTCCAACATCAGGCGCATGGTCAACCTAGATAAACACAAATATGTCCATAAATGAAAACTGATATCTTGATTGTCAAGTTCTAAAAAAAATATAGTTAGGAGAGATCTCATATGACAATACATCAATTAGTCTGTAAGGGATCTCTTACAAGTAGCGGCATAATGTCTGAATAGAATAGAGGGATCTCATCCTGTTCCTGAGGCACTTTTACCACTCGTTTCTTCTCTTCTTTCTCTTTCGCCACGGACTCCTGTAAATCACATGTACATGAAAACAATTCTAGAAAGTAACTCAAGAATTAGTTGCAGCTTGCAGTAATATCATTAAATTGCCAGATGATCAAGCATCGGGGTGTATAGAGGCTTGGCATTTGAACGTTCTCTCGGAGTCCCAGATACCTCTGCCTACAATTAATTGAATAAGATGGTACTCACTAGTACAGGCTCCTCATCAGCAGAACTGGGCATTTCCCATGAAAGCATCATGTCGAATGTCAACCGGCTGAAAGATCCATCACTTATCTTTCCACCTATGCTCGGACACATGTCGATAATAGCCTTTGAGCTACAAAACTCCACGAACTTTCTAGAATAACCGACTGAATCGGGCTTCCACTCAGGTTCAAACTCTTCCACAAATCTATCGACAGAAGTGCCTAATTGCCTGACATAGTCGAGTCAATGGACAGTCTATTATCCAGCCGCCAATCAACGACAAAGTTATAAGATCTAAAATGTCGAAGTCGCTGAAAAAAGCTGGTTTGCGCGATTGGGAAAGAAAACCATTCGAAAGACTCATTTTGTCACGATATCATATTAGAGTTAATCAACATCCTGGAAACATGTCCCGGTGCAGCACAAGTAACATTGACTTGCTCAAACAAATGATGCCAAAATTTCCTCATCGCGACATGACCCATCTCTGTCCCCAAAAAATTTCAAAGAGACTCTTATCCCGGTTAACTCTCCGCTAAACATCCGAAGAGGTCTCTTCGCCTGCCCAACTTCATTAATTTCATCACTTCATTGGCTATCTATTTCCTATTAGCACAACTACGATCTATTTTTCGATACAGATTACTAATTGCTTGTACGTGCATTCTTCGATACATATACATACATAACCTTCAAAATCAAAAACGAATTTCGAGCTAATCAAGCTATAAAATATATCATAGCACCGTGCTCTAATAGCCTAAGCTTTTCGGGAGTAAACGGCGGCCGCACTAACTAAAATTTTAAGCGAGCTTATTCAGAAACTTCTCTCTTAGTCGAGATTCGATCCCGCGGCAAACCTAACAGAACACGAGAAACACTACGCGCCCTCTCCGAGCTCTAGAAAAACCTAGACAAGTTCCCCAAGCATCATAGAACTCAACGGAGGCTCCGTGAACAGGATTAGGCATACAAATGATCATGGATTCAGCATTATCATCATCATCATCATCAGATGACTCGCTAGCGGAACACGTGAATAGAGCCGATGACACCGTTCACGGAGAAACCGAACGACGCATCGGGATCCGATCGTTCGAAATGGCAATGGCAATGGCAATGATCTCGTTAAAAGATGGAAACGAAGGTGACGAGGAGACGTTACAGCGCGCATCTGTGCACGACGTCGTTCGCAATGGAGGAGAGATGCTTCCTCTTCGTCGCCGTCGCCGTCGCCGTCGCCGTCGCCATCGTTCGGTGCTCGCTATCTCTTCTCCGTCTCCGCGCTCTGTGAGTTGCGGGAGTGAGGAGGAGGAGAGCTTTCCGGTTCTTCTCTCTGCTTTAAAACAGCCAGCCCAACACGTCAAATACGACGTGTCGTTCTCCTCCCCCGCGTGCCACGTGGCGACGGCCATGCAACACCTGGTGCAACCTCCCTCGGGGTCACGTTTTTGGCTCGATCTCACGTGACAACTTGCAAAATTGATCGATTTCTTTTTTATTTTTATTTTGTGCAAAATATAGCTATAAGTGCATTCGAATGGATTTGACATTTTATTCCCTTATGGTTAAAAGAATGATATTTTGTGGGATTCGATTAATCTCATAACAGACCTTTGATTTAATGGCTAATATATGCCATGATTACTCTAGATCACAGGGGCCCTCCACAGATTGAGTAGGCAAGAGCGTCAAATTGAATTTATGCCCGTTTGTGTCGTATAAAATAAATGACTTAAAAAATATTTTTCTGAAAATATTTATTTGTATCGATCATCTTTTGGGAAGCAAACATAGCCTAAGACACAATCGATCATTTTACTTGCAGTTCACAATTTCGATAAAACTTCTAATTGCCCGTTTCCACTAGTATTCCTCGAAGCTCTCTTTTCGTAAGTTCGTGCTAGCGAATTGCAAATTATAGTAATATTCGAACAAGCGATTTATTTTAATTAGCATCTGTTTAATTAAATTTCAAGCAACAATATGATGAACTATGATATGGCCCAGAAATCTGGGCTCGAAAAGCCCAGCCGAAATGCATTTATACGCGACCCGCGAGTTCCTTGTTCGACCTCTGCTCCCTCTCTCTTTCTCCCTCCATCTTCTTCTCTGCAAGAAACAAGCTGAGCAGCAATGAGCATCCAACCTGCTGATCCTTCCTCCATCGTTCGCCTCAGCATCGGTTAGCATCATCGCCTCCTCCTCCTCCTCCTCCTCCTTCTTCTCCTTCTCCTTCTTCTCTCTCTCGCTCCATGTACGATGCGCATGTCTTCGCGCATCTTGATTCGATCGTCTTCTTCTTTTTGTCGCTGCTTCTGTCAAGTGGTACCGCGTCCTTCGCGGGATCCGCTCCCGGAGTCTCGTGTGTTTTCCGGAGAGAATGCCTTTTACGGAGTTGGATTTGGGGCTGTGTTTTCTGGGGATCGCCGAGCGATCGGATTGGCGACGAGCCTCGTAGCTTGAGTTGCTTATCGGCTAAAGTTTGTGTGTGGGGAAAAGAGCGCTTTGAGCTGCTGAGAGTTGGACTGAGATCTGTCGGTGGGGGCTTTGAAGCTTGTGTGGGCTATGGGATCGGCAGTCCCGATCGGATAGTTTTTTGATTGCTGCTGCTGTTGCTGCTGCTGCTGCACTTTCGGATGATGAATGCTTGCAGGATAGCTTTTCGATTTGGAAATGATTTTGTGCCATCGTGCAGGTGGCAAAAAATTTTCCACGACTGTGGACACGCTGACTCAGCGGGAACCCGATTCAATGCTGGCAGCTATGTTCAGTGGGCGCCATGTGGTGTGCCAAGATGCCGAGAAGGTATTAGTATCTCTATTTCTGTGGTTTTGCCTTCAGGGACCTTCAGATTGCGATGTTTGTACTGGGCATCTCTTGCTCCACTACTACCGGTTAATTAATCATCAGCTCAGTTGGCTGTGTATGCTATCATGGAAGTCTTTATCTGATATCTAGATTGAGATATGCACGTGCACGTGTGAACTCGTGCATGATACTTTGATGATGAGTGCGTACAAACCTGTGCATTCGTGCACGTACACACACAGGTTTGTCCAATTATACTTATCCAAGTTTGCCAACTTAAGACTTTGATTGCATATTCTAGCCTCATATCATCCATAATGGTGATACCTGCATGGGGTTTTCAGTCAAAGTATTGAGCGTGAGAACTATGGGGTTGTTTTCATGTACAATATTCTGTTGCTATCAACTTTGGTATTTTGGCCTTTTGTGTTCCCTTCTGGGCTGGTGTTCTCATTTTGGATAAGTTTATGGCGGTGGCCTTGTAATGCCTAGTCTGGCATTGTTAGTTTACTAATGGCATGGAGTATTGGAAACACAAAGTTGTGCATTGTAGCAGTTGGATTCTTAAATTGTTGGACAGAGAGAAACAGCCATCTCTCTGAAAGGTTGGTGTGTGGCAGACTTGAAGACTCTATAAATTGTGCAGCTGCGAAAAAACATGTCTTTCTTGAGAGAGATCCTATTTGCAGTTAAAATGCCGGATGCTTATGGATGGAGTGAAAATGCTGTGTCTAAGTTGGAATCTCTGTCTCTTTCAATCTCACTAAACTGCACTCACCCGCTCTTTGTGCTGGAAGTGGATTGCATTGAGATTGTTACCCTTTTAGTGATGTCTACAAGTACATGAATGGGACTGGCTAATGCAGACAAACTTTTGCCAGGGATTTGTCTTTGTTGATCGAGACGGGAAACACTTCAGACATATTCTAAATTGGTTAAGGGATGGTGTCATTCCCACTTTATCAGACTCTGACTACTCGGAGCTTCTGCGTGAGGCAGAATATTATCAACTACTGGTTAGTAATCCTTGCATATACGTTTGTATATATTGGTGCACCTCAGGTATTCCTGGGAGTTTCTTATTTCAAGTTTATGCTACTCTATAGTTGGTCTATCGTCAATCTGCAGAAAAGGCTTGCTTAGTCTGATTTTTCACAAATGAAAGTGAATACATACTAGTAATACTTTAATGTAGTGTCATCTTCTTTCAATTTGTAAATTTAGCACGTTAAATGTTTTCATATTGTCTGCGAGATAGGCCAGAAAAGGATAAGTTAATGGCTTTACAATTTATCAGCCTGATGCGCCTGAGAATCTTCCATTCCGGATGCAAATATAGTTTGTTCACCTTTTGTCCTGTTTCTTTTTGTGCTGAAGTTCCATTAGTAGGCTGGATGTTATGCTCTCCTGTAATGTAAACAACTTCACGTATACATGTTCCTTATGTGTTTATGTGGATAAACTTCTACCTTATCCAAAAATAGTAACAAACATTTATTTAAACGTCACTAATATTCTTCATGTCTAGTGCTAAACAAATTGGCTGCCCTCGTGAATAACGTTATCCTTGTAATTGTCCCAATTTCAGGGACTAATCGATGGAATTCATTCTGTTGTGAGTAAGAAGAGGGAAGAGGATAAGGATGAGTTGGACTCTGAACTGACAAGAACTGATATTATCAAGTGTATACAATCAGAAAGAGTCAGATTTAGGGGGGTTAATCTTTCTGGGCTCGACCTTTCCAAGCTGGTATGTTGTGCATGTTTCTGTGTCTAATGAGAATTTCCTTCCAAGCATGTCAATCTTTTTGTGCTAATTTGAGGATTTACTTTTTAACTGTGTGTAGGACCTGTCATTTGTAGATTTCAGCTATGCCTGTCTCAAAAGTGTGTTCTTTTCGCGAGCTAATTTGCAATGTGCAAAATTCCGGGTTGGTATAGTTTGTCATAAATCTGAAGCATTCATTTCTTCTTTAAGAATGGCTTTCTCTCTTGACCCATGCTTTGCTCTAGCATTTTGCCAAACTTTACGTGTTAATGTTCAAATATAACAATATGGTGAGTTCATTGAAAATTAAATCCATTATGTCATGTCTCTTCCAGGTTGAATTTCGTCTATATAACTTATTCAAATATGTCAAGATTTCTATCTGACAATCACGTGGTTTCCTTTTCTTTAACAATAATCTGCTGTTGCCCATGAATTCAATCCAGGATGTGGATGCTGAAGGATCCATATTCCACAATGCTACCTTGCGTGAGTAAGACACTAAAATTTGTTTTCCAACCTCTGGATTATTTACAATTTTAATTTTGCCTAAGAGATTTTGTTGTTGCCTAGGGAAGATGTGAATTTACTGGAGCCAATCTTCGTGGGGCTTTATTAGCTGGTGCAAATCTTCAGAGTGCAAATCTACAAGGCAATTTTCCTTTCATTTCATTTACTACATGGCCATATTTGGACTTTGGTTCATCTTTGAATGATTAGAATGTCATCTGTGGCTTATTTCACGGTGTTCACTTATCCTAGTGGTATTTTTCATTGTATTCCTCTAAAAATGTCACGGTATCTGTTTTGTGGATATTCTGGTAAATTCTTTTCTCACTACATCTTCAGTATCTTACCACTTTAATTTATTATTGCTAAAATATCTAAATTCTATCTCAAATGAATTTTTCATCAGGATGAGATTCTCATAAATGAGAAATGCTTTCTGCATTTTAGATATAAAATGTGGCAACATGTTCAACGTATATTTAGGCTAAATACAGCTCTCGGCAGCCTCCCGTCCTATGCAATTGATTATATGTCAGTTCTGTGTTGTTGATTCTCCCTGTTCCTCGGTTTCTCCACCAAAAAAACAATGATGTATTAGTTGCACATTTTAGGCTGGTCCAGTTATGAGTTGTTGAGAACTGTCAATAAATTCGGTTGGCGTCTTTATGCAATTCTTAATACTTCTAATCGTACAGTATTTCTTGAGCAAAAAAGAATGTACATTATTTTATGAAACTTTGTTTGCACGGGGTTAAGTTGTAGTTTGTCACAACTACTACAGTTAAAGTGGAGTCAATTGACATGGAACTGGACTCGGATTTGACTCTCTGTGATCAAAATGCCACAGTGAATATGAGATCATCTTTTGGGGATAGTGATGTTTTGCATGAAGGGATGCTAGTTCCCTTATTGTTCTCAACTTCATTGATGCATATGAAGCCACATTACTGTTGATTTTTAGTGAGGCTGAAGAGTACTGCCTTTATTTTAGCAGCAGTAGTCTTTATATATTACTTAAAATCAATTGTAGCAGGTGCTGATATTGTGATTAAAGTATATAAATTCTCTTGGCAGATGCTTGTCTGACCGATTGTAGCTTCTGTGGAGCAGACTTGCGATCTGCACATTTGCAGGTTTGATATCTGCTTACATCTTGCATGGGCAGCTCATTTTAGTACTCTGGACTTTGTAATTGTATGCTATGCTTATAAGCTTATAACCTATGTTCTCTTTTGTCTAGTATCTACCAGGAACTGATGAAATCACTTCCTATATGCTATTTGCGTTTCTTCTGCCAATCACTATTGCCCATAGGCATTGAAATCACTTCGAAGGTCACATGCATGTTAACTCGAAACAATTGGATCTCTATCTGAAAACTCGTCAAGTCCTCAAATCATTCACAACCAGCCTACTTCTTGTTGTTATGAGTCAGTTTCGTTTGTTGCCTTGCCGTCCTCTAATTGACATCACTGAGGACTGTACAGGTCGCACTGTTTGAATAAAATTCAAGGAATTGTGTCAACCAAGTTTCTGAGAAATTTTGATACTATGAACAATGAACTATTATTATATCTGGGAAACTTCAGATCTCAATGATAGAGGGGAGAAGAATGACAAAAGATCACTTGAATTGTTACAGTTTAGTGACGGTCTCTTGATGTAACTTAGCTGTTATATGTGAAGCTTATGTAACTATCGTGCTGTTATAAATAGCAAAAAATGATTATTTTGTTTTTTTTCTATTTGAAGAGGAACGTTGACATTCTTCAGTTTACTGTTTTTTGACTGTTGTGTGAATTAAATGAGTATTGATATTTATCAAATGCGTGGTATTGCAATAATCCATGCCTAGAGAATTGATGCTTTACTTTATTAACAAACCTTCAGACTGCTGATTTAACCAATGCCAACTTAGAGGGAGCCAATTTGGAGGGTGCCAACTTAAAGGTAATTGTTCCTTTCATTATTGTGATTGTACTTCTTCAAGTGATGGTTATGACCTGGCAATTTAACAAGCACTCCGGATTACTTTCTTCTATTTGGGTTGAAGTTTCTGATGAAAGATTGCTTTTGATCTTCAACAATCTGATATGCATACAGGTTAGGTGTATTATAATGCTTCCTTTGTACAGGAGAAACTCTTACGTAATATGAACTGAGCCTTGTTTGACTATTATAAATCGATTGGTGGATATTTCTGGCCTTACTTTGTCGAGCTTTCGGTCATTCCTTTTCTTTCATGATTTTCAGGGGGCTAAATTAAGCAATGCAAATTTAAGAGGTGCAAACCTGCAAAGAGCATACCTACGCCATGTAGATCTTCGAGAGACGGTGAGTAATAGTAGTTTTTCACTATTCGGTCATCCTTTCTCATGATTCTCAGAGTGACATTAAATCCTCCATTCATGTTGTATCCATTAGATAGAACTGAGTGGAGTGTGCTGATCTTATGTGACTCTGCTGGTGTCTTTTTTAGGGAAGTGCATATTGTGTATGGTGCATCGCATTCTTGCTATATGAATTCTACTTTAAGGACAGCTGGAATGTAGATTCCCATTGAGCACCTCATTTGTAGTCTAAAGGATAATTTGCATGTAGGCAATTTGAGTGGCATGCACTAGTGCCAGAATTATATGGTGAAGTTCTCAGATTCGAGTCGAAAATCATTTTTTTTTACCACCTGTCATTGCAAAAAGATGGAATGGATGTGCTTTTGGCTGCATTTACTGTTTGGATCGCTGCTTGGTATGCAACCGCTGATAGCGCAAAAGTAATTGCTCTATGGGTGTAATGTGGATATGGTACTTGACAGTGGTGTAAGGTTTGAAACCTGAACTACTATAGCAAGTATAACATAGATAACAAAAAGTTGAGTAAATTGCCTTCATTTCTTTCTTACTTTTCCACTTCAAAAGCATTTTATCCATTGTGCATGTCATCACTTCTGTTGATTCTCGATTTGTGGCATTCATTTGGTTGAAAGTCCTCTTGGACGAGTGCCTGGTTCCCCTTCTTTTTCACATTGCTTTGAAATGTTACCTGTATGCATCTAAAGATGCATTTTACTGCTCGTCTTCATTCCCTTCACTCCCTCAATATATGAAGACAAAAGAAAAAGGGTGTTAAAAAGAGGAAATGGAAATTGAGAAAAGAAATCACCCTCTATTTGGGCCTCCTTGCCTTCTGTGAGAGATACATATTTGGCAATCTTGTCTGTTCTCCTTTTGTCTCAACATTTAACAGCTTAGCGTTTGATCTCCTCCTATCTTATATCTTTTGCAGCATTTGGAAGGTGCAAAGCTTGACGGTGCCAATTTGCTTGGGGCAATTAGATAACCATGAAGATTGTGAAATGCTTGTATAGGTTGGCCTCTTATTTATTTCGGCCAATGACGTCGGCAGTCTCTTGTATACTGACGTCTACTCTTTATTTTAGGTGAGAATAAACATGTTCTGGTTGTTGGCTGATGTAGATATTTATATGGTGTTGCCTACGTTATCGCTGGAGTTGAGCTGATTCATTAGGTGTTTCCTTCTGCTTTTCTTATACATATATGGATTGTGAACGTTTGAGGCTTGTCGCTAGGAAAGTGTAAGTACAGTTTTAGTGGGTTTAGAAAGGGATTTCTGGTCATGAAGTCGGATTCCTGAATGACCCACCACCATATTAAAGACTTATCTTCTCTCTTTAGCGTTTTTGGCATGGTAAAGCGAATCTTTTGGGCATAATTTCTTCAGTTTTTGGCTTTGGAATTGCTACTTTTGAGAACTGAAAGTATGGCGGAGAGCTAAGACACGGGCTAAAAGTTGTCGGTTGATTTTCCACTGGCTTTTCTAATGCCAAACAGCGGCGTGAATCTAAAGTTGAAGCGAAAGCTGTGGTTAAATATGTACCAAACGTCAATGTCTTTGTACTAGGATTGATTTTATGGTATGTCAATCCATTCAGTCGTGAGGACTGCTGTCTTTTCAGAATGTTGGTAAGTACCTCGTTTTCCTAAGCCTGGTGCGAGTTGCTCAAAATGCTGATGGAAACAATGAATGAATCGGGACCAGATTCAGATCTTAGCATATTGCGTTATGGCTGTCAATTTATGATAGATACGTATTCAATTTAGTTTCTAATCTATACGAAAATATTTAATGTTGTCGCTGAATTTATGTTAATGGAAGGATAGATTGAAATTTTTTTGTATAGTCCAGTAATCAAATTGAACATGTCCAGCAATCATATTGAACATATTAAAAGTTTAAGAATCACGTTAAGCTAAAAATTTAAAGGTGAAATTAACCCAATTAAAATTTGAGAATTACAGATTTCGAACTTTTTTTTTCTTCAGACATCAGAGAAGCACATGAGAATTAAAAGAATGCCATGATTTACATTATCATTCGTCTGGTCCTCCTCTTCTGTTCACCCAGAACGGAAATTATGGAAAATTTGGGAACTTGAAACGCACATAATCCAATGGTCGGTGGACGCTTCCCCAGGCCAGAGAGAAGATAAACAGTAGTGGTCGGCAACTATGGTTTGTGCGTACGGAGGAATCTCCTCAATAAGGGAAAAAAGATTGGGTGAGAATTAAAAAGACGAACTGAAACGAAACGAGATTGAAAGAGAGCCACGTACACTTCATGAACTTACTAATATAAATACCAGTGGTAGACCCAAGAGGTGGATGATTTATTTTAATTTTAATAGTACAGCATCAGATTCCCTGCTGCTTAGTGCTTTCCCATGATGCCACGCATGGTTTGAATCGATCCTTCAACATCGCCTATAAATAGAGGACATCGGTGGCTTCTTACTCTCATCGCATTCAATTCCATCGAAAAACCAAGCAGCTTGCATAACATCACTCGAGGAAAAGAGAGGAAATGGCAGGAATCATTCACAAGATTGAGGAGGCCCTCCACATTGGAGGCCACAAGGAGGAGGAGCAACACAAGCCGGAGGGCCATGGCCACGACCATGACCACCACAAGAAGCCCGAAGAGCACAAGTCGGAAGGCCACGGCCACAAGCCGGAGCACCACGGAGAGGAGCACAAGGGAGAGAAGATCAAGGACAAGATCCACGGCGGCAATCACGGTGACAAGGTGGAGAAGAAGAAGGACAAGAAGAAGAAGAAGCACGAGCACGGCCATGAGCACGAGCATGGCCACAGTAGCAGCAGCGACAGCGATAGCGACTGAGTTACTTGGTAAAGTTAACACCACGAGTTGCGATCTTGTGTGGCCGTGGTAATAAGTGCAATTTTCTACGAGGCCATCGAGTTCGATGGATATGAAATAACAATCATCGCCCGTCATATTGGCAAATGATGAACAATACTTTCGCCAAGCACACTTATCATAATGCAATTATTGTAAGGTGGAATCAAATCATGGACTTACACATCTACTAGTCGTAACCAGCATGATTATGGCTCAATCGATCTTGTAATTTGACATTTTGGGGGCCCGATCTTTGGTGTCGCAGATGATCAGTAGCGTAGCAGTGAAGAGCACGTCAACGTTATTGGGCTCGTCTCCTTCAGTTAAGCCCCAGAGCTGGTGAAAATAAGTAGACCAAAAAAGAAAAACATGAATGTCGTCAAGATTGTTGTCCTCTTTCTAGTCTTATTTTTTTAAAAATGTATGTTGTGATAGATGTAGATGTGCTCGTGTGACATCACAATGTGGTAGTGCCCGATGTGCCATTTTCGGACGGCAATGTGTTGTTCGATTGGTTTCTTCCAATGTTGACCAATTACATGTGTAGTTTGTTACCAATGTTGACAGTTTTTGTAATGACCAAACAAATCGTGGGTAAGTTTTTTTTTGCTAGAATTGGTGATTTGAAATAATTTGGAAACTCAATTAAAACGAGTTGGGCAGTAATCAGATTAGGTTTGGTAATTCGAAGTCAGAAATCTAACAACTCATGGTTTTGCAAAGGCAGAAATCTAACTTCCACAGTAATGTCCTCAACTCGCGCTAGCTAAAATTACATACTCAAAAAGAAAAAAAATTGTTTTCTAGGCACCTTCGCTCCCCATTTCATAACACGACCCCGAACCCATCCATGGAGATGTTCTTGTCCGTTAGAGCAGCACTCGCCATGTCTCCACGTTGCTCATGTGCCGCGCAAAACCCTAGCCCGTGACTTGATGCGAGCACCCAACTCATGGAGTTGCTCGTCTTTCAGAGGCGACAATCTAAGGAGAAAAAGTGTTAAGAATTTGAGCTCGGGTGGGGTACGGGACGGGTATGGGTATGTGTAGTTGAATTTATATTGTATATAAATGGGTAGGATCGTTGTTTACCCGGCCCGACCCACCCATTTGACCGGCCTACAAACAAGCGAGCTACCGGCCACCTTTTTTATTCATCATCGGTGGTCGAAACTTACCAATCCAAATTTTTTTTTTCTCAAAGGGTATGCTAGAATAGCTCGAGAAAAAAAAAATGAACGATTAGCATGCAATCAACAGTCGGAAAGTTCTAGAGCCATGCCTTTTTATCAGTAAAAAGAGGTGGGAAATGGCGATCAGCGTGGGCGATCTCCTGGAGGTTACCAAGGGAGTTCTGCACCTGCGGCCTGAAAGTTCGATCAATACTATAGGTGCTGCACAAACACGAGAGAGAACCCAAGAAGCCATGATTCGGTTCCTGACGAACTACTTTAAGATTGATTTAATCAACGAAATATACATCCAAGTACATCCTGCACATGTATCTCAAACTAAAACGCACAAAATGTCATGCTCGGGTGCGTCTCAGGTCGGGCTCATAAGTTTGGGCCAAGCCCGAGGGAGAAGAAAGAACGTGCACATGCTGGCTCCACTTATTTCGCGGAACCCGAACAATTCTGATAATATTTTTCTAAAAAGGATTGCTTGTATCGCTCTAAAAAATGAATGAACGAATGGACGAACGAAAAGTATCTTCATCGTCAACAAAAATGTTTAGACATAAATCGCTGTCGATATTGAAAACGTCTTTCACTGACTAATTATCTCAAGCGGCACAAGTGATCATTTTCAGGAAAACGTTCTCTCTAAATCATTCATTTTTCGCGAAACATATCGAGCCTGAGATATATTAACAGTGTAATTGGTCGATATCAGCTAAAAGCCAATCTGGGCACCAAGTGGACCTCGCTGCCGGAACTTCCAATTTTGCTTTTCTTAAACGTAGCACTTGTTGTCATTGAAGCTATCTGCGAACTAAGTAAGATTTCCCATCTGGCAACCAACAGAATACATCTAACAAAGCATAGAGCACAGTCGGGTCGTGGGGCGGAGTCCAAATGGACATGCGCATCAGCAGCAATGACCTGTCGATTCGAGAAGAGTCCAATCATGAAATCACAATTAAATTAGACCAATTTTGTACAATAGAGTTTTCATCTTCGCACATAGTTTAAATGCGACATTAGGACAAATATAATTTCCTAGCATTGTTGCTCTAGGATTCGTTCATTCATTACCCCTCCTCCCCCAGCTCTCTCTCTCTCTTGGTGCCTGGACGGTTTGCTATGTTTTAGACAAGATTGATGTTTTTACCATTTGTCACATGACAGCATAGTTCTAAGGAAGAAAAACAAGACACACAAACACATATTAACGACTTAGATGATCGAGCCGGGGGAGGCGTATCGAATAGTAAATGATAGAGATGGTGAAACTAATCATCCAAAGTGACACATGCATACGTACCGAACAGATCCGTTTGATTTGTCTAATGAAATTTTCGTACGCAGTACATAACATTCTGGATATTGTAACGTTCTGGGCTATGACCTAGGCATTTCTCAATCAAGAGCATACATTTTTAGTCCTTCACACATATTAACGGCTTAGTTTATAGTTAGGGACTACGATATATATATATATATATATATATATATATATATATATATATATATATGGACATGGATAATGCAATGCAACAAAGCGCCAAAACAACAATTCAATTGGATAGGACATTTTTTTTTTCGATTGATCCATTAGGAAAATATGAGCCGGTTTTAGCGCACCCCGACCAGGCCGCCTCCCCGGCTGATCTCAAGGACATGCTCTCTGATTGGCTCGAGCGCATCCAAGGTTTTTTTGGCTTTCGAAGTGCTCCAATGAGGCTCGAAATCAAAGATCGCCGCGAGACGAACAGAACTCTTCTTCACCATTCGAGCACGGCACGTGTCGATAATCAGAGAATACTCGCTAACAAATCTTTGGTACAACCATTGGACCCCCCAGTGGCCACCCTTCCCACTTTGGAAGGAGAAGGCGATGAGTTCGATTCCTTACCTTCTCGGGGAGGGCTTGGGGTGGGGATGCACGAGCGAGGAAGCAAGATTCTAAAAACTACTCACAGCACGTTAGCACACGGTGACTTGTGAATAGAGATACGAATAGAAACAGGACATAGCCAGACAAAAAAAATAAGAAAACGCATCTTTGGTACCGCCCCCTAGTGTAGCCACGCAAGAGAATTCGATGCTCTCTCCGCCATATCGGAAAAGGGATCTTCGTTGTGCGAGCGAATTGGGCGCTTAGCGATGGACCGGTATCGCCCTCAGACGAGGACGCATCGGGGGGGCCCCCCCACCACGACAATCTTTTGATTGGTCCAATCCAAAAATCGACCAATGCGAAACTCGCACGTGGGAACAGACTTCCGCAAAACCACAAGGCTCCATATGGCAAGACGGCCAACGCAAGAGGGCTTCTTCAGCACCATGCTGTTCGGCTGCAACATCAGCCTCTGCCAACCCAAACCCATCCATCCATATCTCTCTCTCGATCGATCTCTCAAGTACAGATGTCTCTTTGCCTTGTCGCTGTCGTTGTCGGAAGGGAATTTGACGATTCGGGACGACAGACAGAGGGACCGAACCTGCCGAGCGCTGACACGGTCAACTTCGCCGAAAGGAATTTTTCCTGGCGCGACGCCGTCCCGTCCCGTCGTCGTCGTCGAGCTTCCCCCCACGGAGATCCCGGGCAAATATGAACGTGGAGCTGGTTCATTTCGTCCCGCCGTGTGCCGGAGTCGTTTTCAGCGACCCATTTCGGCCAATGGGATGCGCTAGCGTGTAGAAAATGGAAGGAAGCAGAAGGGACCCTTCATCGAATAGAAAAATCGCGGTCGCCGCCTTCCTAGGTCGACGGGAGCCTCTTCTCGCTTCTCGGTTTCACACCGTACCCTGCCGTATCGCCCTTTGTCGCGATCCGCGTCGACGATATCTCGAAAAAGTAATTCGCCGGTGTTAATAATAAATCTCAGCCGTTCGATCGAACCATTTTTAAATTATGGCATAAGCTCATTGGGAGTCCTATAATTTGTTACGAAAACGTAATTAAGTCTTAAAATTTTGAAAAAGCGCACTTAAGTCCTAAAAACTTGTCACGGAAGTGCAATTTAAGCTTACAAAACTTTCAGAAAGTGCAATCAAGTCCTAAAATTTCTCAAATTGGTCCAATAAAAATCCTTCTACTGGCTACACTTTGTGAGAGTTTTAGAATTCGAACGCAAGTTTTTGGACCCGATTACACTTTTACGATGAGTTTAAGGACTCAATCGCATTTTCGTGGACAAGTTTTTAGTCTCGCCATATTAAATATATTTTTTTTTCATGGGTCGGATCAGCAGCATCCAGCTGGGGAACGCTGCATGGAACGAGTCAGCATCGTGCTCGGCACCCGACACGTGGCGCCCCGCCATTCGCTGCTGGCCCCCGCCACCCTTCCCAACCTCACTTAAAACCACTACCTAAAAACCACACCCGCCTTCAAGACCCCAGAGAGAGGAAGGAACAAACGAAGGAGCCGCTCGCTGATCGGCCCGATTCCCCCCGCGGCACAGCCTTCGACACGATCCGCGTCGTGAATTTTGCCGGCGCGAATCCTCGACTGTTGGTTCGGGTTCCGAAAATGGACAGGCTCATCAGCTTGGAGCCGTCGAACACGGTGGCCATCCGAATCGAGCCGGGACACAAGTGGCGCGGCGAGCTCACCCTGCGCAACGTCATGTACACCATGCCGGTCGCGTTCAAGCTCCAGCCGGAGCACAAGAGCCGCTACACGGCGAAGCCTCAGTCGGGGATCATAGCTCCGCTCTCGGCCCTCGCCGTGGAGATCACCTACCACCACCCGCCCGGCTCGGCGCTCCCCGAGCCGTTCCCCGCTCGCTGCGGCGGCGGCGGCGGCGACCTGTTCCTCCTCCACAGCGTCGTGGTCCCCGGCGCGGCGGTGAAGAGCCCGAGCTCCACCTTCGAGGTCCCCGGCGATTGGTTCGCCGCCAGGAAGAAGCAGGTGTTCATCGATAGCGGCCTGAGGGTCATGTTCGTCGGCTCGCCGATCATGGTTCGGCTCGTCGCCGAGGGTTCGATGGACGAGATTAGGGAGGTGATGGAGCGGAGCGACCCGGGTTGGAAGCTCGCGGACTCCGTCGACGAGCACGGCCAGACGTTGCTCCACCTGGCCATTGCGCGGGGCCGGGCGGACCTTGTCCAATTGCTTCTTGAATTCGAGCCGTGCCTGGAGGCTCCCAACCGATCGTTGGGATACAGCCCGCTCGAGGCCGCCGCCGCCGCCGGAGAAACTCTGATTGCGGAGCTCCTGTTGGCTCGGCGAGCGAGCATTGAACGCTCGGAGACATCGAACCGGGGCCCTGTTCACCTCGCCACGGGTGGCGGACATGCGGAGGTGTTGAAGCTGCTCCTGCTAAAGGGGGCCGACCTGAATGCTCTCACCAAGGATGGCAAAACGGCCTTGCACGTCGCCGTGGAGGAGCAGAGAAGAGAGTGCGCGAGGCTTTTACTGAGCGGCGGAGCCAAGACCGACGTGCACAACGGCAAAGACGGCGACACGCCGTTGCACATCGCGGCGAGCTATGGGGACGAGGACATGGTGATGCTCCTGCTGCAGAAAGGAGCCCATAAAGACGTCCGCAACAGGTACGGCAAGACCGCCTACGGCCTCGCGGCGGAGCACGGCCACGCGAAGCTCTTTGACGCCCTAAAGTTAGGGGACAGATTGTGCACGGCGGCGAGGAAAGGAGAAGCGCGGCAGATCCACCGGCTTCTCGAGAACGGGGCCGCGATCAACGGCCGCGACCAGCACGGGTGGACTGCGCTGCACCGCGCCTCGTTCAAGGGGCACACCAAGGCGATCAAGGCTCTGCTCGAGAAGGGAATCGACATCGACGCAAAGGACGAAGATGGATACATCGCCTTGCACTGCACGATCGAATCGGGGCACACGAAGGCCGTGGAGTTACTAGTGAAGAAAGGAGCCGACCCGGAGGCAAGGACCAATAAGGGACTGAGCGCGCTGCAGATTGCCGAGTCGCTGGCCTACACGGGGATCTCCAGGATACTCGGGCACGGCGGCGCGTGCAAGGACGGGAGCACCCAAATTGCAGGCGCCGCCGCTTCGCTCTTGGGAGGCGTCCGGGGAGGTGGATCGTTGGGTCGAGACGCCGAGTACGGAGGATTGAAGAAGAAGCAGATCACTCGGAGAAGGAAGGGACTTCGCGGTAGCTTCGATTTGTCCAGGCAAATTGCTGTGCTCTAACCGAGGACTAGAATTGAACGGCACAATTCCAGTTTTGCTTCTGCACATTCTAATTCTTGATTAGGCTCTGTCCATTGGTTCTTTTTTTTATAGCAAAAAGTTGGTGTGGTAGGAGTTCACGCGTGTAGATTCGTTCAGTACATCGTGTCCGTTCTGTAACCTTAGTACATAGTACATGATCATCGCTTGACTCGTGATAATCCTCAATTGTAATCTGGGATCAATCAATTGTATGGTGGTCTGATGGCATTTGTGTATAGCATTTGGTTAAAATAAGCTTGATTTATGTTCTCTTGCAAGTTAGTGCATTATGTTCATAGGGTCAATTTGAGTGATTTGTGGCCATTCGTTATGACTAATCTTACATCAGAATTAATTAATTACATCTAATGATTGAGCCGGTGATCTGATTGTCAGGCCTTCCACTACATTGGCCCTTTTTGGCAAAGCTGGTCTGTTAGGCTAAGTAGCTTGTGTTGTTGGATCAAGATGATTGGTGTATAGATGTTTATATAGGCGATTTCATGTCTCCAATTTATATAGGCGAGGGGCCAGGGGAGGCCATAGTGACCCTCGCCGGCCGCAGACAAGGCGAGATTGTGATGCCTTGCCCAAATCAAGGTAAGGCGACCCTCGGTCAATGGCTAGCCGGGTCGCCGGGCCTCAGCTAGTGGCCAGCAGCCCCCTTGCCACTCCTTGACAAAAAAAAAAGTAGAAGAAAAGCAAAGGAAAAAAGAGAGGAAAAATTTAAAAATTAAAATTTTCAAAAATCATCCACGTCAGCTCTGGACGTATTACATAAACTGGCTAACGTTCACACAGACAATTTCTTGCCTGGATTGGCCAGAATGACTAGATGGTCAAATCGTCAAAGGGTTTTAAAACTAAATTGGTAGAATTGAAATTATTATGATTGAATTTTTTGCCACCACATCACTCAACATATCAATTTTATAAAGCAAGTTTAATTACTTTCACATGATTTAAGGGGAAATGACACAAATTGTTTCTAAACTTTAGCCCAACGTGCAACGTCATTCCTGAACTTCTAATTTGTTCAATATCATTTTTGAATTTTAACCCAATGTGCAATGTTGATCCTGAATTTTTAATTTGTTCAATGTGGTCCATGTACGAAATTGTTCAATATTATCCTTCCATTTATTCAAGTTTAGGGATAATATTGAATATTTTCATATAATCCCGGAACTAGATTGAACATGTACCAAAAGTTTAATTATCATATTGAACAAATTAAAAGTTCAATAACAATATTGCACATTGTGCTAAAGTTCAAAGACCGCATTGAACAAATTAGAAGTTGAGGAACGACATTACACATTGGGCCAAAGTTCATGGACCATTTATGTCATTATCCCAAGATTTAATTACATGTCAGATCCATTTCATGCTCGACCAAAGCCCTGGCTTCACTCCACTCTGTTCATGTTTACCAATTGTCTGACGAACCATGAGCAGAATGACCCAAAGATACCAGACATGATCCAGGTTTGGATCTCTCCCAAAATATCAACCAAACCCAAATATGTATAGCTAGCTAAGGAGAGAAAGAGAGAGAGAGGCCCAACCTATACTCTCTACAAAGCCCACCAGCGTCCGCCGACAATTTGGATCGCATCGCCGTGCAATGTCGCTAAACAGTTTAGCCCCTACTGATGCTTGTAACCATTACCCGGTACGACCCATTCCTAATAGCAATACCAACTCCATCTAATGCCTCGCCTAGTTATTCGCAACCGCCGAATCCGACACACAAATCGTGATGAAAACTAGTTCACTCAATGATCATAGCTTTCGTTTCAGATCACCAAGAGAAAGCTTAGCTAGGACGGTTCAATGACCGAGCGCCATCTATAAGCTATGACTTCAAGCATGACCAACAACACGTGAACTAGCATAAGCTCATACACGATTTGCTCCAACTCCAGGGGAGAGAGATTAGACTAGCGTATCTCTCATACCATAAAGACAAATAAGGTCTTCATAGACGAAAACAAGGAACTTATTTGGATCAACGCCTCTCGCCTATCTCATCGAACTAACTTGTTAATTCGATCTGCACCAAAGTCTCGACAAGATCTCCCTCATTCATTAGGACCAGACATCCCTTCTTATTGTTACATAAGATAAGATACATAGTCGCCATCCGTTGTTGGTGGAAAGAATGCAGCCAGAAAGAGCACAGATAGATGGGTTGGTGATGAAAGCGATGGGTTGAACTCTTATCTGATAGCTGAAACTTTGAAGCTGGTCCTCGTTCTTTTTCTTCTTCTTTGGATTGCGGGGTTGGTGGATTTTAGGTGTTTTTTACCAAGTCTACACCTACTCACCTCGATGAGATGACTTTGCGGATCGCTCGAGTTCGATTAGAAACTTGAAAAATGAAATCACCAACCAACAATTTTGGCAGACTTCTTTAGGGTTTCGGAAACTCGAGGGTGGTCAACCGTTTTACCAAAAACCAGGAGATTTTTTTGGTGCAAACCTACTTCCATCTGTTCCTCCATCAAAAGAAAGAAAGACAGAAAGGAAAATACTCGCGATGCTTTCTCCTTCCCGATCGGTGAAAACAGTTTCCGGTTGATGAGTTACATATACAGACTATCAATATGCAAATTTAAGGTGTGTTTATTTCACCGAAAATATTATAATAAAGGAAAATATATTTAGTCAAAAATCATTTTCAAGAAAAATAGTCAGTTTTCATTTGTTCAGTGGCTTAGAGAAAGTGATTTCTCTTTTGCCATAAAGGGAAGCCGTTTTCCCCTCTATCTAAGCCTGTTGTTTTCAGTTAGTTGAAAACGTTTTCTGTAGATCAATTATTTTTTCATTGTCCAAATACCGAAAAGTCAGACAAAGATTTCTTAAAAATGATTTCCCTTCAAACAAACGGATCCTTAGTCGAAAATAAATATGATGGGAGCTCTAGTTGTGGACGGACAGACAAGAATATGGTCCAAAATATTAACTAAATCGTCTCTGTTTTGCATGTAAATGAGCATGATGGCACACATGGAAGCATATGCATACTTAAAGGAAAGAGAGGGAGGAAAGTGTGCCAGATAGAGAAAATAAGGCGAAGGAGTCAAATGTGTTAGTTGGGAGAAAGAGGGAGAGTATCACAAAGAGCAAGGAGTTGGAGAGAGCAATTAATCGCCTAATCGAACTCATTTAGATTGGAATCGAGTCTCGATTAAGCGGTCGTTACAAAAAATTAGATAAATCAAGTGTTTTCTTTCTGTAATTAGCACCTTGTTATTCTAATGCTTACATATTTAATTGCTTATATTATAAGCAGGTTGGAAACGCATTTGATTGCAAGCAAGAAAATGTGGGGAGCCGATGGGGTGGGTGGGTAGGTTAAGGGAAGGTTGGAGAAATTTACATGGAAAATAGGTGGTGAGTGAGAGGTACCTGTTCTTGTCTTATTCCCTTACCAACCATGGCAACTTATGAAATCCTTCAAACGGTAGCAACTGTGGGATTAGTGTCGTCGCTTGAACGAAAACAAAAGGGGAAAATTAGCACTCGAAAAAAGCGGTGAAATCGGAACGAACATACGATGAATTTTTCTTTTCATGATAGTACCACAATAGAACGCGCGCTGCTCATACCACGATTGTGTTGTATCACTTTTTTTTTTTAGGTGTTGCCCGATCGCTTTTCTTCCCTTTTTCCTGGTCCACCTTCGACGTTGGACTTCAAAAACGAAATTGGCCTTGTATGGTATGAAGAGGAGGAGGAGGAGAAGATCCCCCCCAAAAAAGAAGTGAAGGCGGCAGCATCAACCGACACGATCCTGGAAGGAAAATGAAAGAACATGGTCGTGCGACATCGAGGGGGCTGCCACTGCCAGTTGGTCTGCTGTAAACAACACTTTGCACCACCGACACTCGTTCGTGGTTTCCACTCTAGTTATCGCTGTAAATTCGCGATCGACTTCATCGACCTTATCGAATCGGGACGAGAGAAAGCAACGCGTGTTTTTACTTTTACCGCAAGGCACATTATGTAACATGATGGATGGCCCCCATGTGAAAATATATAATGAGAGTGTTGCTTTGCTTGTTGTTTGCTCCATCTTTGACCAACTTTCCCCAACTCCCCCAGATCAGTACCAGATCAATTTGCGACGTTCGATCGAAGCCCCTCCTCCGATCCCTCATACAGAGAATGTCAACGGAGAACGAAAGACACCACTTTACTTCGTAATCCTGCGACCTCTCGGGAGTTGCGTACAGATCAAAATATTCCCGTTACCTAAGTATACTATGGGGTGATCTTATGTGTAAATAATCTGAGGGTGAACTAGATAATTCGTCTTCTTTTGAAATTGGATTTGGTTAATGGGGAATGAGATTTTAGCAAAGATACCTTGCTTTTGAGAAAAAAAAAAAAACCGAAAAGATCGCGTTGCATTTGAGGGCTATCCCAATGCATTCTCAAATAAAGAGCTCTCGTCTTGTCGGTGTGTGTCGTACTTTTCGGTGATAAATAAGGAATTTACTTAGCTTTGACAACCATTTCAAAAAAAAAAAATTAGGAGATGAAAGAAGCCTGAGCTAGGTTAAAAATGTCACTATGGGCCGTTTGATTCGACTTTGGAGGAATGTAAATACTTTTGGGCTAAATGGGTTTTCCGAAATGCAAGTAGTTTTTGGTAAGTATTTTTTAAAATCAATTTGGGCTAAAGGATTTTTGATAATATTTAAAAAAAAAAAAAGCTCCGGTGGAGCTTAACCACCGGCCACCGCCGCTGGCCAGATCTGGTCGCCGGCCACCGCTGCCTGGGGTCGCGCGACCTCGGCGACCCCAGGCAGCGATTGCCGGGGTTGCGCGACCCCCAGGCGGTGGTCGCCGGTCGAGCTAGCCCTCGGGTCGCCGGCCAGCCGGTCGTCGTGATAACCAGTGCAAGTTGCATTCCGAAATGCAACTTCTCAAAGCACCTCCACCTTTGCATTGACCAAAAGTCCATTGGAGAGCATTTCAAATGCAATTGCATCTTCCCAAAGTGAGTAAAAAAAGTTGCCAAACACCATTTGCATTTAGCCAAGGGACT